AAATAGAAAGAGGTGTTAGACAGGGAGATCCGCTGTCACCTAAGTTTTTCATCGCTGTCCTAGAAAATATATTCCAATCTATAGAATGGAAGAATAAAGGTATAATAATACAAAATCAACACCTAAGTCATCTAAGATTTGCCGACGATATTGCCTTGTTTGCAGAAACAGCTCCAGAAATAGAAAATATGTTAATCACTGGACACACAGAGTAAAATAGTGGGATTACACATGAATCCTAGCAAAACGAAAATAATGACTAATGCAGAAAATAAACCAATAACAATTGAAGAAAAAGATATAGAATATGTAAATGAATATATATATTTAGGAAAACAGGTATCATTCAGAGCAAACAGTAACGAAGAAGAAGTGGATAGAAGAATAAATTCTACATGGAAGAAATATTGGGCACACAAAGAAATCCTAAAAGGCAATCTCGATATATCACTAAAAAAGACAGTAGTAGACACATGCCTATTACCAAGCCTACTGTACGGATGTCAAACTTGGGTTTATACAAATAAAATAAAAAACAAAATTACTACATGCCAGAGAGCAATAGAAAGAAGCATGCTAAAATTAAGGAGAATAGACAAAATAAGGTGTACAGACATAAGGAGCAAAACTGGACTAACAGATGCTCTGGAACAGGCCCTTAAACTTAAATGGAAATGGGCGGGTCATCTGTCAAGATATACCGACAAAAGGTGGTCCCTCAAGTCCACTGGATGGTCCGGACCAAAAGGCAAAAGAAAAGTAGGCAGACCCAGAAAACGATGGTCCGACGATATTGTGTCTGTGGCAGGCAGGGACTGGCTGAAGGCGGGGAAAGATAGAGAAAAGTGGAAAGCAATGGAGGAGGCTTTTACCCAGATGGGATCCATGTCTGAAACTGTACTAACAAATACTAAAAACCAACATAATACTTAGGTTTACTAACAAAGTAACATAAATAAAATGTAGAAGTAACCAATGGATATGGAATAAAAAGCTTTTTTATTTTATTTTATTTATTTATTATAAAATCATGGAAAAATATAAATGGTCCTGCAATAAACAGCTCATTCAATAAATATATAATAACTATTTCCTTAAAAATAAATATTAATTAACTAAGTTCATGAATTTCGGTACAGTGATTGATAAAGAGGACCTCGTTCAGATAATGACATGCAAAATAAATGCACACGTTATATTTCATTAGAATTGGTTCAACCATTGTTAAAACCGTAGATCGCGGCCACTGTGCCGCCTACAACTGGTAGGCGTAGGTGAATTCAAACCAACCAAGGACCCTTTCGAATACAAACATGATATTTCATCCATATCAATCCAGCTATTTATCAGAAACTCACATTATAGAAAATTAATAAAAAAGAACAAAGGCAATAAAATGAAAAAAATACTTACAAGGTCCATCTCGTATCTCCAACAACTTTTGCATGTGGTTAGCGCAGAACTCGTAGACATCAGGAGGGTTGTGCTTCAGTACATCTCTGGTGAGGCCTTCCAACAGCTCCACAAGGCCCGGTGGCATTTTAGGAACGGCCGTCCGTTGATAAACACCTGAACCGCTAAGTCTCATGGTTTTCTAGAAAGATTCGACGAGTAGAACAGACCAGAACAAGTTTTCTTTCGTGATGTTCAATGATACCCAATACTTACCACATATAGCACGTTTTCTATAATAAAAGAGTTGTGTAGCCACCAGTGCCGTTCTTTCTACAGGTAGGGTGTGGTATGAGAACAGCTTTGGTGGTATTGTTGCGGCAGCGGTAGTCATGGCGATGCGCCAACTTGAACTTGAATCGTGCCGGCGAGTATCGATCCAGCAGAAGCGGTTCAACGTACCACGTGTTGTTTACTAATGAGTTCGAGGTTGTCGTCGCGCTATTATTAAGACATTCCTTTTTACACAAACCAATGTCTAGGTTAGCGACTACACGAACGACGGTTACATCACTTTTGCATTCAACAACAGACGCTTGTTAAGCTTTTGAATGTGCTTTTTATTTATAAGCAAGGGCGTATTTACCCTAAGACCAAAATGGCCATGGCCCGGGGCGGCAGAAGCCATATACCTAATGCCATTCATTAATACATTCTATTTGATTTACTAATCTTAAAACTCGCCTTACCCGGGCCGGGGGTCAATCGCCTAACGGAATTGATATGGCTATTGCTATAGCTTATGATTTTATTATGTTATTTCTGACCGCCGAAGGCTTTCAAATACCTTACGCTCATTTGATTTTATATTGTTGTTGCCAATAAAAAGGGGAAAAATGGGCACGGGCCATTTGAAAACCTTCAGCGTTCAGAAATAACAAAATGAAAACGTAAGCGAATGCGATATCCATATCAATCTCGTTAGGCGAAATACGCCCCTATTTATAAGGCTTCACTCTTTGTCGGTAGCTATGGGGATGGTAAGACATCTGAGTTGCAACAGCATGAGATAACAAAATGTACAAGCCAATAGTTACATTATTTGCTTAAAATAAGTATCATATTCATCTATTTGTAAAAGCTAATTCAGAAGTTAACAGTTTAACCTCCATTGCTTGACTGATACCGAAAGATAGACATCTGAGTTGCAACAGCATGAGATAACAAAATGTACAAGCCAATAGTTACATTATTTGCTTAAAATAAGTATCATATTCATCTATTTGTAAAAGCTAATTCAGAGGTTAACAGTTTAACCTCCATTGCTTGACTGATACCGAAAGATACCTACATACAAGATGATTATTTCACATAATCATCTACCGTATGCACCATTATCACCATCAATGATGCAGATGAAAATAGTTACGATTCCATACAACGTGTAACTGAAATAACCCACGCCCTTTAAAAAGCTTGTTGCAATTATGTAAATGAATATTTTTTATTAAATTAGTTTAACCAGTGATATCTCAATATTAGTGAAATTATTTAATGTACCGTTGCAATTAAAAATAGCTTTTATTACCTTGTCTTATGTGTCATATTCCTTTGCTTAGAATGATTAAATTAGTAAAAAAAAAAGTTTTTTTATTCTTTTTATTTTTTACTTTCAGGGTCTGCTTTATTACTGTTACGTTGTATAAATAACAGTGTCTGTAAAAGACATGTCGAGTTGAAGCAGTGTAGTGTCCACAAAACATTTATCGAAATTCTGATTATGAATCACATAGAGACCAAATCAACGCCAAAGAAATTTATTCTGATCTGAATTTATGGGCAAACACCAAACACTTACAAAAATATCTCATTTCTTTTTTAATTTAAACTTTCTTGATTTTAACAGCATGACGTGAAGTGTACTGGATTGTAAAATTGTCACAAACAGTAATTTTATTTCATCATAAGCTTATCAGTATATAAGCTTATGTACCCACAGCTAGGGTACATTAATTGATTAATGGACTTGCTGTGGACAGAATCAAACACGGAAAACGTGCCATAAGTGCCATTACTAACCAACCACGCAAGCACAGTGCGGATTGGTGGTTGCTAACGACTGCAAATGCAGCCGGAATCAACGGCGTAACTTTGGTACCCATTCCAATGGTAGGGCATTCGACATTGACGAACTTAGGACAAAAATAAATTACAGAGCGAAAACGTAGAATAATAAATAAATCAACGTAAAACCCTTGTATATTCTGTGTCCTTAGCACGAACCAATATCGAATTCAAATAGGTAGTAGAATACGATCTCGATATGCGTCAAATGTCAAGAAGTGCGTCAAATGTTTTGTATGGCAGATTTTTATAATCGCTCCATCAGTTGTGACGCTGTTCAAATTTGTAGGTACTCATATCGAACTCGAATTCGCTATTAGTTCGTGCTAGAGTACAGTACCCTTAGCACGAACCATTATCGAATTCGAATAGTTGAATTCGATCTAGTTAATAGTCAAATATGTACTGATTTTTAGTTCTCGTTTCGCAGTTGCGGCGCTGGTGTTTTTGTATGGAAACTTGAACAGCAGCGCCATAGCACGTAACGAGAACTAAAAATCAGTACATATTTGACAATGTCATTTCACACTCGGAAACTATTCGAATTTGATATTAGTTCGTGATAATTTGATAATAGTCTGATCCTGATGCAAACACAAAAAACTACACAAAATATTTTTACTGCCAACTATTTTGTGCAGGCTTTTCGCGTGTTTTGATTAATGACCTTTGCGATATATTCATTTTGTTTTATTTAAATAGAAATAATATTTACTTCTCTACTAATTATTTTTGTAATATAAATATTGTTATCGAAAAATCAAGAGTGAAAGCGTTTGTTGATAGCATTTTACTATTTGCGCGGGAAAAATAGCAGCTGGTGTAATCTATATTTTCCTGGCGCTCTCTTGACAGAAATGAATATGCCTTTAATTTTGACGGTGATCTATAGATTCTATCTTAGTTTAATTCAAATATTTGAGTTTGGTAAGTTTATTTATTTGTACACCTTTAAGTTACTTTTAGCATTTCAAATAGGTTCATTTTTTCCAGCCGCACTCAAGTGTTTATTAAATTAGATGCTTTAACAAATTACATGTCTTACTCTTAGAAAGCACCAAAAAGTGCTTACTTTGGCCTAGGTAAATTGACGCGAGTGTAAGAAATTACAAAGAAAACGACAGCATCCTCTTTGATTGAACTTAAAGTTAATTAACGTCTCTTAGTGCGACTTAAATGTTTAGAAAATATTTACTCATTTATTGAGTTTACTTGTCCACTTTATGTGTTCATATTTACTGGGGCATAAAGCAGAATCAGCACCAACAGGAAATTATGATGTTTGCGAATAATATTCAGTGACATTCTCCTGTTTTGATTTAAGATCGTACAAATTAAACGAGAATTGTTGAACTACAACTCTTTCAGAGCAAATTAGATACGACAACATCGCAAAGGTATCAAAAGTCACACAACTAGGTCTCAGACCTGGGTAGACTAGACAGCAGGCGCTTCGGCGAGTCAGTGAAATGAAAAACTTAGGTAATGTGAAAATTTCTCGTGTATTTCCAATGCAGTTGCGCAACTGAGTAATCACAAGGGGAACGTTAGCTCAGGACAGTAGGAGACATCGACGGGCGAGGCCGCGCCGCCGCGGGACGCCTACGCTTACATTTACCACTTAAACAATTCAATTCATGTGAGTCAACTTTTTTATTTCCATACTGTGTTCTATAATAGTAATTTTATATAAGATCATATATAATTTTTGCAATGTTAATACATTTTACATAACAAACATCTCCATAGTGTACATACATACATGCGCAGCAGCGCTCGGCGGCCAGCGCAGACCGGCCGCTCTACAAGTGATGATAGAAAAATTAATGGCTACAGTAATATCATACAAATTAATGACTATTCCCTTACAAATTAATCATATCTACTTTAGCATTGTTCTACTCCAATATGATCGAATTAACGCTTCAGTCCGCCGGCCGCACGCTAGCGTGACGCGCGGACCGAACTGCCCAATAGTGTCCCACTCCCGCCGCTATGTATAAAAATCACACCGCTATAAATTTATAATAAATAAATGCCTATTTACACTATGTAACTATACAAAATGATAGGACGACGAAATAACATCGTTCTTATTTTCTCTTTTTTTTATTTATTAATCGAGCGTCTAATTGTTAAATTTTATTTTTATTTAGTTATTTTATTTTTCAAAGTAAATTCATACGATACGCACTACGAGGGCCCCGCGACGGAGGCGGGCGGAGCGCCGCCCCAGCCAGGGGGGCCGCCACTAACGAGAGCCACACAACGAATTCCCTAAGAACGCGCGTATGCTTGTGTAATATGTTTTGTACAATACGAGGAAGCCGGCGTGCGCCGCCGCCGCGGGCCGTCGGAGGTGGAATAAACTAGTATGAGGTCGTTAACAAAAGTGTAATCGTATAGAAAGTATCAATACATGAGTGAGGGTAGGCGGGCGGGCGCGGGCTCGGCGGGGCGGCGGGGCAGTCACTTGGCGGCCGCCTGCCGCTTGTGGCTGATCTCCAGCTCGCCTAGCCGCTTCCACAGCTCGTCGCGCTCCTTCTCGCGCTTCTTCTCTCTGCGAACAATTAATTGTGGTAACAATACGAAGCAGCGAATTCAGCCTAAAAAATACTAGAAGAAATTCAACACGTCCATTACTTTCGCGGTAGGTAGGTAATTTGTCAGTGCATCCGCCCGGATAGCGAGGGTGCGGATTCGAGTCCCGTCTGCTGCCTGGCCGCGTGGATTTTTTTCTAGTAAAATTTCCTTTACATTTAAACACCTAGCAGTTAAATGCTTAAAAAATATTACAAAAATTTAATGCTTCATCGAGTCTCATTCTATTTTATTGCAAAGAGAGTGACAGCATCAACTTTAGTCAATCCTAGCAGTTTACTTCTCATAGTGTCGTCGTTAGAGAGTGGAGCTCTTTACAAGAAAGATTCCGACGAATTGTAAACCACCTTCTTTTCACAATCACACTCTATAGCGCTTCATGTGTAGACGGGGTCTTCGCAGTCTTAACCTACGGGTGCGGTATTTGCCTAGTGCTAAGCTAGTGTGCAAGTATGCTACCTATGTAGTGTTAGTGTTTATGGCCTGTGTAGGAGGAGTCGCAATTGCGTTAACGCAAGCTACTTTTTTTAGGATATTTGAAGCCAAACTTAGACCAACAAAATCGGAAATCGGAAGTGGGCGGGATAACGGTCGGTATGTAGTTAAAACTCTATTTACTGGAAGGTTTGGGTGAAGAGAGTAATTATCGAAGTCACGCTAATATAAAAATTGGATACACCAGTCAGAATGCGTGTCTTTCTAAAAAGAACCGCAACACTTTTTTCCGGATTAACATCAATATACCATCTGAGAAAAGAGAAGTGTATGAATAGGGCGGTATCTTCCGCGAAAAGGGCAATGAAAAGCGTATATAATATGGGGTAGAATACCAAGCCCTGAGGGACACCGGCGCGTATAGAGTGAGGCCAGGAGACCGTTCTTTCGACGCAATAGCGAGTCCAGTGATCCGATATAAAGTGTCGTATGACGAGGGCGAGTCTGTCTAGCACCACCCTGAATTTGTGAACCATAGTGCCAGACTTTGTCGAACGCTTTCGTCACGTCGAAAGGAAGTGCACTTATTGGTCTAGGATAGGCTCGAATAGGCGGTGCAATTCGTGGAGATCATATTATAGTGTTGCTTTGCATGGATAAATCATCGATCAGTGTGTCTTATCCTGATCCTAGGTCGTGTGCCACACTAGTGCTACGCGTCTTGGGTCTGCGATGAGCGACAAAAACAATACCATGTCCACTTGAATATGAGCTTTAGCACTGCGGCGTAAGGTTGAAAGTGCAATAACAGCTGCCTACTTGTTTAAAAGTCATGCCTACTCCCTGCCTATGAGTACTCGCCGGTGCTAGAGAACCCTCACTGGGGCCCAAGGACGAATTTTGACAGCACCGTAATCGTATCGTCAAATTTTGTATGGAAAAATGTAGTTTATTCTTACGTCCGGTAGCTTCTGCGCTGCTTAGTTTTCATATAAACCTACGACGATGCGATACGATTACGGAACTGTCAAAATTTGTGCTTGGGCTCTAGACTTTTCTGGAACGCGTCGATTGGCGTATATAAAGACCCCAGCCTTCGCGCAGTGGACATTTGAGTTTCAACAGCGACTATGGAGAGATTAAAAAGACGATTAAAATGCAAATGTTTGTGTCGCACACACGCGTGTATAGGGACTTGTATAGAGTACAGTGAGTGTAGTATTGTATGTTAAATAAATAACTGTCAAGCGTAACTGGCATTATAATTTCAACCCCATCCTGTTACCTCACAATATAAAGGATCCTGTAAACAATCATATTTGTTTGTCAAAAACGTAAATTCAACAAACAAATTTGATCGTTTACAGGGTTCTTAATGACAAAATGCGCTACTCACTTCTGCCGATCGGCTTTGTAGCTAGCCGTAAGTTCATCAAACAGCTTCGAGTTCATCTCCATGAAGGTCTTGAGCACGTTGTACACGAGCGCTATGATGGTCTGGTTCCAGTGCTCCTTGCTGATGCGGTACAGCGCCGGGAACATTATCGGCATAATCACGTGGTTGTTCTCCTCCATCAGTGAGAGGATGTATTCGTTGTTCCAAAAGTAGAGTGCTCTTTCTGCCACCTGTAATACAATCAAACGATGATAAGTATATTTTTATTGTTTAAGCATTCAAATGCTAGATGTTTAAATCTAAAGAAGCAGAGAAGAGGTGCTGCCTTGCAGCCTAAGAAATCCGACACGGCCATTAAGGCCGCAGTGGCATAATTGGGTCAGTCACCCGGATAGCGGAAGGCCCTGGTTGGACTCCCGTCTGCTGCCTAGCCGCGTTGAATTTTCTAAGAAATCTTTCTTTACAATTAAACTATGTTAGACATTTGTGAAATATAGTATTTTAACAGGATCCCTGTGTAATGAATCATGATAAAATAAACGAATATATAAATATTTCTGACACTCACACCTATTATCCCAGGCGCAAAGTAAGAACTGTAAGGTTTGTGTTATGGTATACCAGGGTAACACGTATTTATTAGGCAACATTTGTTTAAAAATACTGTTTATAAACAGTGTTTCATAATGTTGCATCATCTTGGTTACAGTTTATAAACAAAGGTGATGAAACATTTTTTCAGGATACATGTTGCCGTGTTCTCCAATCCGACTGGAGAGCAAGACGAAACTATAGGGTTTGTTGCAGGGTGTTTTTGGTATATTTTAACATAGAAGTAGTGTAGTCCAATGACCAGGTTTCGATGCTCATAGAGCTTTTTCGATTACGTACTCGTACTTCTCATGAATTACTACGTAAACCAGCACAGAGCAACATTACCTCCTCGGGCGTCATCCTAGCAACAACTGACAGTTGTGGACAGCCATGTTTCAGAAAGTTTTTTTTTTATGGTAAACTTATTTATAAACGTTGTGATCCACTTCATAAACATTTTATAAACAAATGGTGCTTAATGAATACGCGGCTTAAAGGATACAATATAAGTACATATATCTATAATATAAAAGTGAATCGCTGAATGTATTGCTAAGAGCAAATCCCGAGAACTGCTGAACCGTTTTCTATAATTCTATTTTTAGAATATTCCTTGAAGTACGAGGATGGTTCTTACGCAGAGAAAATTTTAAAAAAATGCGTTAAAAAGTCCAAAAACAACACTTTTCCATACTAACACACGATTCGTAATAATACTTAAACGTCAATTTGAACTTTAATACCATACCATAAATTTGAAATGTTAGTGGAGAATTCAGAGAAGAGGTTCAGGAAGGCAAAACAATTGAGTGACGTGATGTCAATAGAAGTTTGGAAAAGGCAAATATATAATTTTCATTTTTTTTTATAATTATATGAAGTGTCATTTTAGTCTACACTACAGCTCTACACCGAAGCGAAGCAAGGGCGGGCCACTAGTATAAGTATATTTATCTAGAAATAAATATAAACATCCATGACTTAGTTACAATTACCCGCATTCATCATACCAACATTTGCCCCACCGGGTTTCGAACCCGGGGGACCTCTGGATCCCTTTTACACCAACACTGCCAAGTACATGAATTAAATATGAACAAAATTTTAGTAGCCACTTGTAATCCTTCTTTCCATTACTAAATGAAAAACGGAAGTCAAATGGAGTATAAAATCATTGGACACTACAGAATAAAAAAAACCCCTTTGTAAGGGACAGTGACACTTTAACAGTCGTCTCTTTAACAGTGTCTTCAGCACCTCAGGGAGGTGCTGATAGACACGAGTTTTTACTATGGAACCAGTATTATGGAAGAAAATGCTGTAATGGAACTATTTCTTACTGAAGTTCTAATATTGAAAACTGGCCGTTAAATGAGCTGACGACATGATTTTTCGACACGCGCGTGGCTTGCACGTGCGTGTCGAAAAATCATGTCGACTTCGTCGTGTATATTACACGACGAAGAAAGAAAAAATGAAAATTAAATAATATATCGACAGAAGAAAAAACGGTAACTAGATCCCTGTCTCAATATTATGTCACAGTGACACCAAGGCCTTTGTTTTATTTCATTGTATGTAAAAAACAAACGCACATTTTCAGCTCGTTTAAATAACATCGTGTGCATAGGCCCTTAGGCAATCTAAAGGGATCACTTTACCATGTTTACATCAAACTCAATGACTGCTGTGAAGTTAGCGCAGGTAGCGATGTGTTACTGGAGTGACACCCGACTCTTGATAATAATCGAGGTATCGTGAACATCGTCGTGTCATAATACATAATGGCGTTAAAAACTATTTAAATTAAAGTACTGTTGTCGGCTGTCGACGATGACGACCACAATAAATATAATAAATAAACAATAAATATTTCCAACACTCACACCAATTAGCTTAACCCCAAAGTAAGCACTGTAAGGCTTGTTATGGGATGCTAGGGTAACGGATAGAATACATATACTGATACAAATATAAGTATATTTATATAGAAATACATATTAAACAACCATGACTGGACTACAAATGCTCGTATTCATTACACAAACGTGTGCCCCCACCGGGATTTGAACCCCCGAGTTGGCAACACCATGAAACCCGGCGTACAAACCACTCGGCCATGGAGGTCGTATATATATCGAAAGTGATCAATGATTACAATCACGATAAGCAAAGTAAAAATCATGATCCAGAAAGTAATTGCAATCAGGAGCATCAAAGTATTTAACCAACATGTAAGTATGCACAACATACCTGAAAATGCGGACTGGAAACACATTTAGCTATTTGCCTGAATAAAGGCTCTTGGATTTTCGCAAATTGAGCCGGCTCAATAACATCCAAGATCTCTTCTATCTCGCCCAAAAACATCACCTGAAAAACGCAAACACTTTCATTAATTATACTATTAAAGCACTCAAAAAAAAAATCTTTTCAATAATAGATAACCCCGCATCCATTCTCCTCTAAAGAAATCCAAATGTACAACATTAGGCACTTCATTATTAACCTATTTCAATTATATAAATGAATTTTATATTTTTACTAGCTGACCCAGTGAACTTCGTACCGCCATAAAAATAAGGGTTGGTGGTAGAGGGTTGAAAAATCAGGGTTATATGTATTTACTAATGCTGTATCATAAAAAAAATAAAAAAAATATATCTAAAATTGAAAAAAAAAATTTAGGGGTATTACCCTTAACATTTAGGGGGACGAAAAATAGATGTTGTCCGATTCTCAGACCTACCCAATATGCATATAAAATTTCATGAGAATCGGGAAAGCCGTTTCGAAGGAATTTAACCACAAACACCGCGACACGAGAATTTTATATATTAGGTTATAATATCAAGTAGCAGTATAAGTTTTTTTATTATAATAGTCTGTTGTAGGGAGTCCCCCTAAAATATTTATTTTAATTTAATTATTCATTTTCAAAAGTTAATATACAACTAAATATTCTGTTAATATTTCAAGCGTCTGTTGTCGTCGATCGTTTGTCAAACACTTGATAAACACAGACTGTTAAAGCCGCTATGTAAAAGTTTCAATATTGATGTAATTATAGAAACTACCTTTGCGCTATTTAAACTCCTAATACTGTGTATGGAATCATTGCCTGTATTAGTTTATTCGTATAAAATACATGGCGATTCTTGCAGGCGCAGCGACGATTTGTTAAAAGTTTGCATTATTATAACATACCCAACGAATTAAAAATGATGTGAAATAGGAACTGCGCTAAAAAGTGGTTCGACGCAAACTGCGATCAAGTGGGCGGGGCGGAAAATGCGAAAAAAATGTTTAACATTTTCTTACCCAATCAATGGATAATTGAATGCATTTGTAGATATTTGATTTGTCATTTTTTTTTATGGATAGGTCCGACAAATGACTCCACCCCACCTAATGTTAAGTGACGGTGAAGTCCAGACCTGAGGATAGCTGATACAGCAGTTCTACCTGTACCTGCCACACCAGCCATCCTCACCCTGCCGGCCTGCATGTTGCTTCTTCACGCCTCTTTTAAAGGATCCCAGGTTCTAAGAGGGAGGGAACACGTGAGCGGGCAGAGCATTCCATTTACGGATAGTGCGACAGAGAAATAAGTCACCAAATTTCTTTGTGGTCCACTGAAGGAAAGGGAAAGGTGGAATAAGAGAGAATAACTCCTGAGAACACTCGCCGTGGTACAGACGATAGAACGCGCTTAGTGACGCCACGACACGGCGTAATTGAAGAGGTTTTGTCTGTGCGCGTGTCGCGTTGGTATTGAAGTTTAGTTGTATGAGTTTGGAACCATGTTTTAGCAGCCTTTGTTAGAGAGTAATGTTTCCATATCATTTCTAATTCATTGAACATACCTCCTTCTGTGAGCAGGTCTTGGGCCAGAATTTGAGTAGTCCGCGCACGACGGGCTCCGTAAGCGTGGCGTCCTTCTCTAGGAACTGCACCACACAGTACGCCAGCTGCGCGTGGTACAGCGACAGGCACTTCACCTTGTGCAGCGGCAGCAGTACCTTCACCAGGAACTGCTTGTGCTCGCTCTTCAGGGGTAGAGCGAACCCGTTTATTATACTGGAATACGAACACACTTCTGTATCTTCTGTAACTCGGTCTTCTTGACCTCCGCTTATTCGATAAACATTTTTCAGCCTTTATTCCCATTCGCTCCCGCGGGGATTGCCACCGGAGGCAAATGGGAATAAAAAAATTGCAGTGGGGACAATGACGTCAACCCCATTCGTTCCCGATGGCAATTCCCGCGGGGGCAATTGGGAATAAAGGTTTTTGTGTGACTTTAGGTACAGGTACTGGACTATCAGATTATTAACTTATTTATTATTATCAGATTTTGATTTGAATATGGGTCATATTCAGGGCAGATGGTCTACAATATAGAATGCTAAAGTTAGAGTCACTCAAAGCATGTTTTAAACATTGTATCTTACTATTAACTATTTTCCGATGTCAGTACAATAATTTGATGATTTTGTTGAAATTATTATGATTTAACTCTTGCAAAAATTATTAAAATATTAATAAAAAATATCCTAGTCCATTTTTTAACAACGTCGGTGACGCTACAACTACAACGATTGTACATTGTCGATTTGATAATGATAATGGTTTTTTTTTAAATCTAAACACACCCTACAAGTAATAATCAGTACCACCAAAGTTATTGTTTTCACAATGATAAAGATTTAGATAATAATTTCAACGCTCCTTGTTTCGTATTATAAGGCAAACCATAAGTTATTACTTATATTGAAAAACACACACATATCACTCTAAACCTAAAGTGGATCCAATACTGCTGTTTGTTTTAATATAAAACTCAATTTGATTACGAGTACATCCTTATATGATAAAAATATATTTTAGAGGACCATGTTTGTTATTCAGTTAGTATCACACAGTAAGTAAATAGCTAAAAACTAAAGCACGTGTGTTAATACACACAGTAAAAGTGGAAAAAAAATGTGTCTAACATTAAAGAAGGAGAAATAAATAGGTATCAAAGTGTGTTTTCATACTATAAAAATTACCCTTTTTATCATTGTTTTAACTTCTAAAGTCGCCAATACATGTTGGCCGAGCTTAAAGGTGTGCTATAACACAACTGAACCACCCGACATCCGCCCAGTACCGCCTCGGCGCGCGCCGTCCTCTCGTGGACGCCGCGCTGTCAACCAGCTTACGTCGGGTGGGCCACGGTTGAACGCCCCGCCCGCCGCGTAGGTACGACCATAGAGGTATAAGAATAGAATAGAGGAGATACAGACTCTACTACAAGTGGCAGTGTCCCTCTAATAAAAAGAGAAAGAAGATGAGAGAATCGCGCGCATTGGCAACCGTAAGCATCTTACTATTTCGATGTCAAGCCATTAGATGCCTTGCGTCACAAGAGAGAGAGAGATAACTAACGATCTCTCATCTTCTTTCTATTTGTACTAGACGGATACTTTTAGAGTCGCCTTCCCCACTCTATTCTTATACCTCTATGGGTGGGCCACGGCTGAACGCCTCGCCCGCCATACGAGCGTAGGTACGACACGTTTCTCGCGTGCGAGCAGCGGGTAGTCACCGCGGAATCCACGAGTCTTCGCCTGTGCGCGGACAGTTAGCGAGCGAGGCGAGCCGGTGGACTGTACGGAGTTGGTGTAGAGAGCGCATCCCCATAGAAATCCATACAAATAATATCAACCGTATGCGCAAAGGTGCTGATCGGGTGCCGGGTGGTGGTACCTTAACCCAACGCGAGCGTAGGCAAACTGATACAATACAAGGGAATACAAATTTGAAGAAGACCAATGCATGTGGCCAATATAGACGAGTTATATGGAGCTGCCCATACGGTCAAATGTTGGCGAGCGACAGCGAGTGCCGAGAAGCGCCACCAAGTAAGGTCCATACACGTTGGCGCTTTCCTTTACTCAACAAATAAGGCAAGCGACACCGAGCGATGAAAAGGCACGACAAATATGCTGCCAAATATGTTGTGGTATTGGCCTACGCTTGGCGAACATGTATAGGCGGCTTAAAAAAGAACATGTTATTTTTTGTGCTCAAAATAAGTATAATTTTATAAAAATATTATTTCCTTTCTGGTCACTGCAGTAGCCCAGCCGCCTGTGCCAATATATAACATGTCCTTTGACGGAGTCATTCCATTTATGACAGAAAAATTGAGGGCAGGAATCCTGGCATAGAAGATATTTAATTTTTAATTGCCAAAGACTGAAAAAATCATAATGACTCTTCATTTCATTACTTTTATAAATATGATTTTAAAGATCGATGTGACAATTGAATGATAACGCAATTATAATCAAGTCAATCAGACAGAATATACACGTTACAGGTAATTAATTAACGTTATAGTCTATACTGGATGAAAGTATCTAGAAGTAAATTTAATTAATGTTAAGATAATACCTCAATAATGAAAGTTATTAAACTTAACTTTAAACCTTATTTGCGTACGGCAACTTAAGCCCAGCGGCTTCATCATGCAATTGTAACATCTGTCTTCTTCAGTCGACCAACATGAGGAAACATTTTTATCATACGACAATGGTTGGTTGTAATAATGAAATAACAACGCAGCAAACACTCCACAGTAAGCTCACATTAGTAGATGTGTTGAGGTATAGCAGTGGGACTGATATTAAAGATAAGTTTCATACCTTGGACGAGCTGCCACTATGATAGAGTAGTATATTAAGGAATAATATAAAGTAAAACCTATGTTTGTTGGTTTATATTTGGAAAAAATATGAACAGAACGAATTAACTAGCACCTTTTATTTTCATACAACTATGCTGGCATAGAGATATTTTTAATACTGAAACTTAAGGAAAACTTCATATTAGCTAATCAATGATAATGATAATTATGTAAAATTACCGATTAGTTACGCTGACCGCAACATAGGCGCATTAGATATCCTAGATAAGGTAGATAAGTTTTAACAATCGATACTTACCTTCCAAGTATTTCTAGCAGTTCCCCCACGCCATTGAAATGTTCGGTTTCGTAGACGAATCGCAGGAATATATTATTGATTTGTTTGCGTATGAAGGCACGAAGCCCCAAGAACTTTCCGTAGATGCGGTGGAGCACCGTCTTCAAAAAGTCGCGTTCGCGCGGATCTTCCGAGTCAAACAAATCTAAAAGCTAATGGAACAAGAAAAAAAAAATTAGTTTTCATAACAAAACATGATGGTTTATGGCGCGTTCTCTCTATCATATTCTTCACTTCACTGTGAAAGTCTTAGCCTAACCGTGAGAACTGCCAATAGCCTGATGAAAGTGATACAAATAAAAATATTTCTTATCATTTTAAAAAACTATTTTTATATTTATAATTTTGACAATTTTGAGCCCTTGCCGCCGTTTAGCGCAACCGACAAATCAAACTTTTCAGGGGTTTTTTTATTATTTTTAAACATTAAACTCAGCTTGGAAGTCCCAAGTTGAGTGTATTAAGAGAAGAAACGCGTAGGCTGTTTAACAAAGCTTAAATGACCAATAATTTGGGACGATACTTAAAGGCTCTAACAAACTACAATAAAAAATACGAAAGGCAAAGAGACTTTCATGGAGGAAGTTCTGCGAGGAGATCACCAAGGTCCCTCAAGGAGCAAGAATTCATAAAGTTCTCGCTAAATCGCGTCTATTGTGGTCTTTGGCGGTTGATCAGCTACTTACAAAAGCCTCTGATATAGGATAAGATATACAGGGATACGCGGATGATGTCGTATGGCTTGCGTCATTGGTCGGTGTCAAACTGCCGTATCATCTATTATACAAAGATCTCTGAACATCGTTGTTAAATGGTGCACAGAGAACAATCTATCAATAAATCCGAATAAAACAACAATAATACCTTTTACTAGGAAACAAAATTAAGATCAACTTACAACGCCCACGATAATAGGAATTATTGTTCCATTCTCCACGGAGGTTGTTACTATATTATACTAACCTGGGCGTTACTATCGACCAAAAATTAGCGTGGAACAATCACATTGATAATGTGATACACAAGGCGAACATCGCCCTTGGAATATGCTGTCGACTAGCTGGGACGAAATGAGGTCTAAACCCAAGAATCGCCCTGTGGATGTACACCGCCATCGTAAGGCCGATGTTAACATACGCCTGCGTAGTGTGGTGGAAAAAAGCCACTCAAACGACAATCATCAACAAGATGAATAGCTTGCAAAGAATAGCATGCCTAATGGCAACCAGTTTTATGTATTCAACGCCAGGTGCTGCACTCTTCATTCATATAAAGGAGGCGAAAGCAAGTATATACAGAGTAAGCCCTACTGACAGAACGAACTGGCACTCTCAAGTAAGAGCCTTAACTGGATACTGCAAACTCAACAGGCACCAATTTCATATGAAATATGAAAACACCTTCTATGTGAATGTGGGCCTCTGATCCACAAAGGTAATATTCATTTGGGACGACATACAATACGCCCAAAGGAAATCAAATCTCTAAAAGCTAGAAACTTTTTGACCTTCTTTGAAGCTGTCGGGCTAAAAGAATCTCTTAAAGTATCTACTTTAACTTGGTGGCGAGTCACAATGGATCTTAAAGGTTGCAGTGACTACAGTCCAATTAGGACTGCATAGCCCCAAAAATCAAAAATAATAATAATAGAATCCCTTTACAAAGGATTTTATCGATACCTCAACTGTTAAAATTGAAAAACAGCAATGTCAAAATATCATTTTTTTAACGTCAAAAAACAAAGTCTTCTAATTATTACAATATAGGTATCATTTGAAAGGTCTTATTGAGGTTATATAAAATATATACAAATATAGTAGCATTCACAAAAGGGTTTACCTGTAAAACGAGATAAATAGTAGTTTTTTTTTTGTTTAATTATTTTTTATTGGCAGTCGTGTTTTTTTTAGACCATCTCATAAATAATAATAACATATGTAACAATTATTAATTTGTTCGAAAATGAAGGGTATTATTAATCTCTCATATGTGTATACTCCAATAGAGATAAACAGTGGAGAAATAACATTGTTTATCAAATCTACCAGTTGCCTACTTCACTGTTTGATATGTGATAAACTGTCGTTATTACGAACTAACTGATAATCTCAGTCGACTATCAATCATACCATCTAAAATATAAATAGTCCAGAATAATTAAGTTTTTTTTTCTTTATTAAGCATGATATTGTTGATATGCTAAGAATGTCATAAAAAGAAGCTACCTAATAAGTACGAGTACAATGATCAAAACAATTAACCAAAAAGGAGTAGTCATTGAAGATTGAACTTAATTATAGGTTACTTAAACACTTACACTTATTAAAATAAAGATAATTCTTCATATTGTTAAAAAAAATATTCAATGAGTAAAGGAATTCTATCATTCAAGACACCCTCAGGAGTGTCATTGGAAATTAACCTCTACCCGTGACAAAGTGCAGCACAAGAAACACCTAGTTTTCTTTTTTTATCAAAAGTAATGTTAACTTTCGTCGGTTAGGTACGTATTAAGTGCAACAAGGAACACCAAACTTATACCTATTATTAGTTTGATACGTGTAAGTAAACCTGTTATTAGATGATATTAAAATAATGCATTCATATTATGACTTATAGAAACGTAGTAATTTATGTACTTTATAGTATGTAGTTCTAATTCTTGAGAAATACCAAGATGAGTTTGAATAAGTTAATTGACTTAAATAGACCTTGTTTTTTCTGACAATTAATTGAGAAACGTTGAACAAGAAACACGTAGTTTTTATTTTATTTGCTAAGGTGGTATTTTCTTCTAGATAGCAAGCATATCAGAGACAATATATACAAATTAGGACAACGGTTGATTCTTCAAAACCTCTCTCTTCAAAATCTTAATTGAATTTGACAGTGACATGAAAACTACTAATAAAAGACTCGTAGGTAATACCACCGACGATATAGAAACGATATAAGAAATATTGGGGTAGTGTCACGGGTCTTAAGTTCCCTTATCTTATCTCCGCCGGAGGTATCATCCACCGGGGGCATGGATTCAGATAGAATTTTATGATTATACAAAATCTGGAGCAGCTTCTATTAATGGAATGTTTCGTCTTCACCGGCGATAATGTGTTTAACGTGAAACATCTACATTGCAGGGGACAGGGGACTGTTGACTGGCGACACGCTATGGCAATTGTCTACAAGATTTGAGTAGACCGTAATTTGGACTCTTGATATTTGTAAGAATTGTGCAAAAAGCGCAACCCTGCCATAAAGAAAGAAAGGAGCATTTTATAAGTGCTCCTTTGGTCTCAAAGTCACTCACACGAGAGTCACGATTTTACTCTGATTCTAAATCCATTTTAATTATTTAAGTTTTCTTAACAAACTATTTTTTTTTAATAAGTTCCAATCATTCACATCTACCAAGAATCTTGTGGACGACTCACTTCTATAATAATAATTAACTACGGCAAATAATATTTTATTTTATCGCAAATATCAAATTAATAAACGCAACACAATAAAAATACCAATTCTATTAAGAAAAAATAAAAGTTCATACCTGCAAGACAAACTTCTGGTCGATAACCTTCTTGCCAATTGTTGGCTGAAAATCAGTGGACTCCAGGAAGCGCAGAAAGAATTCGTAGACTAACTGGAGATGTGGCCAGGAGGCCTCCAGAGTCGGGTCGTCTTCTTCGGGGTCGAAGTCGGGATTTTCACTCGGTGGCAAAGTGCGGAATAGGTTGGCCGATATCTATGAACAAATAATATCGTTTTAAAAGATAGTGAAGAATAATAATCATTGTTACTCATATTACTAATGGCGTGCGCTGCGACTGGAGAGATCCGCCTCTAGCAGCGTTGCTCTATGAAATGCCATGAAACTGTACGCGGAGCGGCCGTCCTGTCCGTGCTGCTGCTTAAGTTATCCCGCTTTTGTTAAAGAAAATTCAATGGAAATACAACTTTCAATACACTGACTACTATTTTATTTGGCATTATGCTAATGAATATGGAATACCTTAGGATGACGATGGAGCACAGTAAAAATAAATCACGGATATATTTAGATAGATAGATAGATAGATTAACACTTTATTATAACACCAAATACATAATTAAGTAACATTCACAAACAATAATATTAACAAAAGCGTTATAATAGGCGGTCTTATCGCTAAGAGCGATTTCTTCCAGACAACCACTAAGTATGAAAAGTTATACAGAGACCATAGGGGTGTTAAATGGCTTGGAATAAATAGTCACATCCATACATACAATCTACATCAAACTAAGTATCCTAATTAGACATATAAATATATATACATACATACACATATATATACATATGCATTTAATAACATATAAACATACTTACACATATATACATACACATACATACATAAACATAACATATATACGATATATATAGATGCCTACTTGTTCGAAATTTCTAAAGCTTATTACCCTATTTTTTTGGGAAACAATTTATCATAGTTTTATTGGTTATTACGACTTGTAATAAAAACTAACCAATGCCTTAGAAAAAATTTGAGCTCACGAAAACTATCATAGTTTTCGTAATTGTAAATTATGTTTCTATGTCCATTTTGCAAAAAACTAACCAAATATACTTAAAATTTAAGAAGACGCAAATATTGAAACGAAAACAATAAAATCAGTACCCTTAGTACGAGTGCGAGCACAGGAGAACTATCATAGTTTTCGTAATTGTAAAACTCGTACTAAGGGTACAGTTACCACTGACAAGAAATTAATTAATTTTAGTTTAATCTTACCAATCCTACTAATATTATAAATAAGAAAGTTTGTTACTCAATCACGCAAAAACTGCTGAACGGATTTGAATGAAATTTGTTTAAAAATTTATGTCCTGGATTGAGACATAGGATACTTTTCTACCCGGAAAATTATCCGGTTCCTGTGGAATACTAAAATAACTAAAGAAAACGCGGACGAAAACGAAGACGAAGTCGCGAGCGGCCGCTAGTTGATTATGAATTAACTAGCGGCGTTAAGACTTTATTTTCGTTTAATTTTATAAGAACCGAAGAGATGCCATAATATTTTTAAAAAATCTCCAGCCACATAGCCTAATATGCTGCAGAATCAGTGATTGGAGTTGAAATCACTTTGTAGACGACTACAATAATCAAAGTTTTGCAGTGTATTAGGGGTCATCCATACAAATTAATATTTTCTTTGTTTTTATCCATATAAATATTAACGTAATTTACATTTTTTATTTAGCTGGTCTCATTTGTGAGCCCACTAGTGTGACGTCACATATTTAGCAAATTTACATTTACAAATTTTTCAGTTTTATTTCCAATTAAATTATTATTTAATAATATTAACATCAAATCAAACAATTAAAAAATCAAACAGCGATCAATTATAGACTCGTTTGGGTTGTTAATGTTTTAGTAAAGTAATAGTTTAAAGTTCGTGTTTCAACACTTGATTTTGAAATGTGACGTCACGAAATTTAGGACCCCTCTCTCTCCCTTGTCACACTCGACCTCTCTTGTCGACCATTATCGGCTATCCTACATTAATATAAATGTTAAATTTGTTACACAACTACTCCTGGACGGATTTGGATGAAATTCTGTACGCGTATAGTTTACGACCTCTATTGAAACAAGATAATTTTTATCCCGAAAAAATGTTAGGTTAGGTTGGGATTCTCAAGGAACCAAAATTAACGAGGAAGAAGTCGCGGGCGGCCGCTAGTATAACATATAAGGTAACTAATAAATCCACTAATCCTCGTGGGGAATTCGGATAGGAACCCACACCAATACAGTGGCAACAGAATAAATACCACTAATTGATCGTCAATCAGAATTGATCACCAGATCTATGAATCTGTGTTATCCCAACTATTAAAGTCAGTAAATATTAATATATTTCATGTTAATAAGGTTTACAGCTTAGGAAAATAATAATATCATAGGTGCAGTGTTGGTGTTTGAAGCATATCTAGGTAAAATAATAACAAAAACATACAGAATGCTGTCATTGTTGGCACAAGAAGATTAGTGCAGACAAATAAATAGATATACAAAATTTATATTTCATATAAAGAGTATATTTTGTCACTGAATTACTTTGATTACAGAACAAAAGGCAGATGGAGCGCACGGTACACAGATTGCGTGCCACCAAAGCAAAGATCAAGTCCAAAGTAAAGACTTTTTTTGTCTTTGTTTACAGTTTTAATAATGTTTGAACAAGGCGGCACAGTTTTTATAAAAACTTAATATTCACGGGACGCATGCACAACACAATGCGTTGTAGTGTACTGACGCGTGTTGATATTCGCTTTTGATTTGATATTTGCTTTGGTTTCACGCAATCTGTGTATCCTGCACTCCATCTACCTTTAGTTCTATAATCTGAGTTAAATAATGTAGTGATTGATTGATGATTCATTATTTATTTGGAAATTTTAGGATAAAGAAATAACTAGATTTAATAACGTTATGAATACGGCGTCACAGTCATAAATAGTATATTTGTTGACATTCATAAACCTATAAAATTAATCACGGATTTATCGTATACTGGCTCATTCGTATACCAACACCAATAAAGTTAGACTTGTTTGTGGCGAGTTTGCTACTGAGATTAAAATACAGAAGTTATGAACTCATCATATCTAGCAGTGAGCTCCTAAGAATGTATTAAAAATGCTAAGGAATAACCAATGGTAAATTTAGAACATTACAATCAAATATGTATATGCATACCAGCGTTGCCAGACATCCCGATTTTGGCGCGACGTCCCGATCTTTAAGTCAAAATTTTAAAGTCCCGCGCGGGACAGTCTCAATCCCGCTTTTCGGGTATAAATTGACCGTGCGTGCAGCGTACTGAGAAAGCGCGGGCGGGTGGAACAGACAAGTGTGGTGTGGACTAGCTGCCTGCCCGGCGCGTAATGAAGATAAATATTCAATAACTTTTGGTTATATACGTTTTTTTTACTATGTCCCGCTTTTGACGAAATATTCCCGCTTTTTTCACTGAAAAAGTTCCTAAATCCCAACTTGGCAAAAAAATAATCTGGCAACGCTGATGCATACCCTAACTAGTTAGGATTAAAATGAAATTCAATATTCTAATATTGAAACATTTTCATTAGTCTCCAATATATCTGGAGTAAATATTAGTAGATCTACCAATCTACAAGAGAATAAGGTAAGAGCCAACTTTCATGGCCCTTCAATTTATGGGCCCTTAAATAATAATATTCTGTTAGTTTGCATTCCTGTTCCTGGGTTTGGTAGAGCTTTATACATACAGTAGGGGATAAAGGTAGACAACAATGAAAGTTATCTATTTACCATCAGGTTATTCATATCTATCTGGTGCTTGTTTGCCAACTTATTTATTTATTATTAATTTATTTTTGGCACATGTAATGACATAAAGCAGATAATGCAAATATTACATAATATTATAGACAACAGGAGCCAAAACTTAGTATATTTTAAAATAAAGTAACATTTGAGGAAGGAATCTTGTTAAATTTTGGAGCAACAACTTTTATACCTACAAATAGAAACAGCAAGCAGTTGAGGTGCATTCATCCTGAGTCTTAGAAATTGCATATTCATAAACATTGCTGTTTCTGGGTGCTTACAAGCTTAGTATAAGTGATACATTTTTATGTACTCTCTATGTAACTGAATACAATAAAGTACAAAAGAATCATAGTACAATATATATATAAAAAAAATATATTGTCATCAGGTGATATAAACAAAAACTTTGCCTAAAAATAATAAGTTAACTTTTGTATATTAATAAAGTTCATATAAATTTAAAGAGTTCAGTGAACTACCAAACTATTTTAACTCAGCTGAAACTAATTACACTACTTTTATGTTAGGTAAGGAATTATTATAACATAACTTAGTAAGATTACATGTAATATTTTTTAATTATAATTAGTAAATTCTTAATAAACCTACATGTCAGTAAATTTACTTAATATAAAACTCCAGCAACATTATTGCAAGTTGATTAGTTCAATATTTTTTCTGATGATGTTCAATGTCCAATGGTATTATAGGACCCATTCAAGCTTTCAATCAAAGGCCAAAAATTTAGTCATTAGTAAAATAAAATAATACCATTTTAATTATTTCCGGGTAGACTGGCTCAGTAAGCACCCCGCGCCCACCAGTGATGTACTCTACGAGCTCACTCAACGTGGCACGTTTGATCTCCTTGCCTTTAAGGTCAGCTACAGGGTCCATGAAGTCAAAAGCAACACAGCACTGCCGCAACTTGCGAATGAACAACTCCTCTTGTTCACTACTTGCAACATCTGGAAAATTACACTATGGGTCATCAAAAGAAACATCAAAACGTTGACATTGTTTCGACAGCGGAAAAACAAAATCATTTTATTTATTCACCAGTTTGGTGTTGCTTAAAAATTCACATTAAATAAAAACTGAAATTAAATTAATTTTCAAGGAACACCAAAGTGGTGTATAAGCGATTTTGCTTTTCCATTGTTGATTTGTACTCTTGGATAGTCCACCAAAATTAAAATATTAACTTAAGTGGACTGATGAATATCCCTAATTTTAAAATATTCACTGTCAATACCAAGATGATTTTAAAATTGAGAAATTAGTGGTGTTCATATTAATAGAACTTGCAATTTAATTCATTTTAAATATACAAAATTCCATTTAAAATCAGCTCTGAATGGAATACAAACTTTCAATCTTTAGACCTACTGCAATTTAAAGTATTTGATATTTAGTGTATTTGTTGGTAATTACTATATTTGCGTTATTAATTATATTGATTTTTTTCTACATTTTTTTTATTTGCATTGAACATGGAAAACTATTTAATTAAACATTTTAGATTATAAAAATAATATATTGTTCAAAAAAAAATCTATTCTTAAGGAAAAGAAAGAATGTGTAGAAAATTAAAATAATTCTAATAAGAATAATAAAGTGGAACTTGCTAATGTAACTAGGGATTTCCTTTCTAACAGTGATTAGGTTAGAAGAAATAATTGTTGGATTCCTTCACAATACCTTATGTCATCACCTGACTACCAACTTTACTCCTCAAGGTCATGTTTATAGGCAAAATATGCAATGATTTCTTCTTACATAAAATGCTTAACTTGTGTTTATTATTATGCTAATAATTATGTGTGAATAAGAATTATGAAATACACTCACTATGCATTGTAATAAAATTACATTATTAGCTATAAAATCTATTAAGAAATTCCTTCACTTAGGATAAAAATAAAACAAAATTAAAATTCTACTCACTACTATGTTGAATGGTTATTTTTTGGCAGCAACACTGACAAACACATATTAATAATAAGATATTATGGTCTGTATAATTTAGTCTAATTTTGTAAACAAATAAATACATGCAATGTTTTTCAATATTATGCTAATAAGAAAATGCAGTGCTTTCATAACAATATTAAGAGCAGTGCTAACAGGGAACTCATAACAGAAGTTCAGTGAACTGCCAAAATAAGGTTGTGTATCATATTTTCACAGTACATGAATTGTGTAACTATGAACATAGTCTGAAGCTTCTGAGTGTACCTTTTAGCAGCGGCAGCGCCTGCAACTCTACGTCCTGCGTATTCCGGTAGCGTGAAGAGCCTTGCGACTTCTTCGTCTTTTTCTTCAAAGACCGCTTAGCGAAAGGATCAATCCTGTCCACAAACGTTCCCGAAGACATTTTGTGTGTATATATGCTAAGTATCCCAAATGACTATACGTCGACAGCAATTAATTTGTTACTTGTTTTGATTCGGGCAGAGTCATGATCCAGCCCAATCTACGAGACGAACGCGCACTTCCCGTAAGATCGCAGCACAATATTAAAGCCTAAACAAACATTCCATCGTCACACATGACGGTAATGGAGTGGTCACACTCAGGCCATTCTTTATACACATATGATTCCACAACAGTTACGTAATTATTAAACGTCTACAACACAAAAATGACACAATAACAAAAAGAAATAATTTGATTCACAAATCCAACTTTATTTTCTGAGGCGTGTCACACGGATAGCAGAAGGCAGAAGTCACTACATACAAGCCTCGTGTAATATCAGCCGGTCAGTCAATGACAATATATATTTCTTCCACAATAATCGTCCGAGATAATTAAATTTTTGTTAATAAAAACACTTAAAACGTCGATAATATGCGATTTACGGTTTCGCGAGATGTAATCGAAAACTGAGGCAACGATGACACGGAGCAAAATTCAACATCAAAAATCTATCACCGTATTCTCGCCATCGCTCACCATCCGTTTCGACACTATAACAGAACGCATTTTAACGCTACGCATAAGATTATTTGAAGATATAACACATTCACGGAAATAATTATATGTTTCCTCGACTTTTTCCTCAATGGAAAACGATCAATTTACAAAATTAAAACTAAAAGATTATCATCACTGGTTTGCTGCGAAAACGCTACACTCGTAGAAAAGTACCTATATCTGAAAATAGATGGAGATAGAAAATGTTCAGTTTGCCAGTCAACAAACTCTTTTATTTTTCGGAGAGTAAATGTTTAAAATATTATATTAAAAATTAAAATATTAAAAAATAATTATTTTTATAGTACACTTGTTTTAAATTATCTAAACATGTAAGAAAAAAAATATATAGGTAACTTTAGCGCAGACACCTTTTCCGGTTCTGTTGGAAGCGTTCATACAAAAATAATTTAGTTATTATATTTTTGTTGTAGTTTTGAAAAGAGTAATTATTATTATTTTACAAGTTCCATAGCGTCATGTAAAAAACTACGTCAAAACTACTACTACTACTTTCCTATTGAAATAATAAACACGTCAGTTAAAAAACTGATTCTAGGATAATATTAGTTAAACTATTTGTCAAATTTTGAAAACGTTAAATTATACGTCACTAAAGTATCTAATAGTGTTGATTCTGGTATGATTCTCAAAACTTTAAAACCTAAGTTTAACATCAGCTTGTCCTTATTATTCCATATAGAGACTAGGATATACAATTTTAGGTTTATAGAATCATGCCAGAATAGCAACATTGACTCCATAAAAAGTGAAAAATTATAATTTAGTTGCGCCTATCAGTAAAAAATCGAAAATAAAACGAGGTTTTCAAATATGCCACGGTAACGTTTCTCTGGCCACGTCTTATGCCCCCTCTACACGCTGACGAATAGAAGGGGTAGTATGTGCGTCTGTGGTAGGTATTTGACGTCCGCAGATGCGTCTGCCATCAAACTGATAGTTGTCAGTTATTTTATTGTGGCACGCAACAAAGGGATTCAGGCGGACGTCCGGCGTGCCTGTCTACGCGTCGGTCGGCGGAAGCATCAGTAGTACGGGAGTTGCAAATGAGAGTATGCTTGCAATTATTTTTTGCTCTTTATTACTGTCGTTCGCCGAAACTGCTAATATAATGTGTATCAACGAAACATTTAGATTACTACTAGCTGCTTGAATACTACAACACCATTTTCAGTAGAGTAGTATTCAAGCAAAAAACGACCTGTAGAATCCGAAAAATATCCAGCAGCCACCACCTTCTTCTTTTCTATTTCTTTTTAATAATTCTACTGCGATGCACCTCAAGTAGTACAGTTTGTCTATAAAGTCGTGACATGAATGTTTGAGGAACTAACATTATTCATGTGTCTGGCAACACCAAACTTATGTACATCAGCTGTGCCTGTCATCGAGTTTCAGTTGTGGAACAGTTTTCCTTTTGTGTTTTTTATTGTTTAGATTAAACTGTAATAAATTAAGACGAAACTTCGCAGAAAGGTATAAAAATGAGTAAAGTAAATCGGAGTGGCACGCGGGAAGTGATTTTTTAAGTTTTCCAGCGATGTTTCGAAGACTACCAAGCTGGACGAATTTTGTGGGATTTGGATGATGTTTATGGGCGAACAGCATCTATAACGGGTATGTAATCGTGTAACTATTTGTTTATAATCTACCTGAAGTTACAAATTTACTCAATTTACGATTTTGAGACCAAAAAAGGCATTGTTTACATGGCACATTTTAAGGTTAGATTGACATTGTAAATAGGTAATATTGTAGTACGACCATTTCTTTTGATACGTTATTATGGTTCAACTCGGTCACGTTTTCTACCAATTTTGAATTAATTGCTTCATGTCAATAAGTTATTGTTTATATTCCGTTACATATTTTTTTATTTTTTTTTTCAGGAAAATCAGAGAGTCGGATAGTCAACGAAGGTTTTTAAGAATGATGGAAAGCTTGAAACTCCTGGGAAAACAGGCAAGGCCGACCAAAGAAAGAAATGGTCACATAAAAAACCATGGCCAGATGCTTTTAGTGAAGATACCTATCATTAATTTTACTAACTGCACATTTACAAATTGTTTATCTAAATAAACTTTTTATATACTATAAAAGGATTTTTAGTATTATTTTCTTAATAAGTGTGTTGAAAAACGTCGTATGATGATACTTGTGTGTATTGATGATTACCTAACGGCTCTGGTCTCAATGGCACCTCAGCGGTAATCACCAACATTTCACACTTTTACACTACAAAGTACTATTTTATCTATAATAATTTTATTCTGATTCAATTAAATATGCTTGGCTAAACTTTTTATAAGCATAGGTACCTACTATATATAAAACAGAAACAAAATACGACTGTTCAGTGTGTCTTATTATATTTTACTTGAATGAACTGCTAGTATCAAAATCATTTTGGTCAGACTGTACAGGGTTGCTACATGCATACTAGTGGCGCCATCATTTAATGTCACGATTTTATAGACAAACTGTAGTTAAAACTACTAAATTAATAAATAATTGCGCCAGCAAATAATCTCAACATTTTTTTTTAATGTTGTGTGCGTACGAGTTGCGTCTGTCGAGAATGAATACAGATTGAATAACATTCAGTACAGAAAGATGTCGTCAGACGTGTGGTCGTCGGCTCGCGGTGATCCATCTGCTGATGCATCTGGCGACGTCCGCGGACGCATCAGCCGTCGTGTAGAGGAGGCTTAAGTAATATGCCATGGATAATGTCTATCCATGGACCATTGACAAAGCCATGCTACTGTTAGTAATCTGTGCTGTGCTTTATATTTATTAGTGTTGGGTAGGACACGACTTGAAAAAGAGTTTGTAAGAGTAGCCTCTTTTTTGTACTTAACCAGTACAATGTCCCACTTCAAATGAGGCGAGGCGTACTGAAGCTCGACAATACATTTGAAGTGACGAGTACAAATATGACATTGAGGCATACAGAAGCTCGACATTACGTTTGTGTGCACGAGTAGCACCTCCTCTACGCACTATCAATATTGCTGGATTCAGCATGCAGGACAGCGCTATACACGTAAAACAGATAGAGATACAGATGGACAGTGCGTAGAGGACTTAAATGAAATGTCATGCCTCGCTCTCTCTCTCAGACTTACGAAGAGTGAGTGAGTAACGAGACGCGACTATCGCGACATTTAATGTGAAGTAGTACATTTTAAAATTTTGAGCCGCTCTTACAATTTGGCGTCATGTCCGGGACAAATGTACCGCCTCTTGTAAGTGCTACTCAACACTAATATTTATGCTCTATGGACCTTAGCTTTGAGAAAGTGGCTTTCTAAAGATTTTCAAAAATCTTTCATAAATAATTTGAAGAATAACCAACATCAATAAATCATTTTAAGGTGTACAATATTATCACAATATGTGTTAAGTGAAGTGGTGATTCTTTAGTGAAATAACGCTTTACAGAACATTATTTTAGAAAGCAACCAACATGGAAGCTTTGACAGTTCCGCCATGAATGCAAAATAAATAGAAATTGGGATGTGAAGGTACATATCTTAAATGTTTATTATTTTCCTGTTGAACAAATGTTCCATGCTAACTATATTTATGACAACCAAACGAAATTTCATCTTAGTTATGAGCCATTACTTACTAATTTCCGATTCGCTTCTGCACAAGCACCTACTTACGACTTCTACTTAGGAAGGAATGTATTTTTACTATAAAGCTGGATTTTATTTTGGTTTGTTTGAGTTTCCTGACCTACATTTACTCCTTATCTAATTACTTATTTCAATATTTAGAATTAATCACTTTTGTTGTAATATGATTTGTTTCCAGCTGCATTATTTTTAGTACTGCTATTAAAAATTTTACCTAATTGTTACTAAACATTGGAATCGTCTCCTTATTCAAAATTTAAATATGCATTAAAAAGTTATGTCATAGAATAATTTGCACAATTTTCTAATACAGTAATGCTGGGTAATTCTAGAAAATGATATAAATATTTCATACATTCACACCAATAAATACTGTAATGTTTGTGTTATGGGATAATAGTTCTATATATTGATATACAAATAGAAGAAATATAAATATGTAAAAATATATAAGCATAAACTGCCATGACTGAATTACTTAAGCTTGTATGCATTATACAAACATCATGAAACATGTATCTTCCTGTGGGACTCAAACCCAAAACCACCAGGGAATATTGAAAACCTGTGAACATCCCACTACCACAGAAGGCATAAAAAAGGGCTTTATAACTTCGAAATTGACTAAATTTATTTCAAATGAAGTACCGTTACCATTGTACCTTTTCCTATATTTAATATCTTCTCACTGTATATTTCAGAAGGTGCGAAGATAATCAAGCACTTTTAGAATTATCATCATGTTGAGAGGTGGGCGTGGAGGCCGTCACAGTCCGGAGCTGTACCCCCACACTATAAAGTGTTCGAGCGCAAGTGACACAAGCTCCGCATACAGTGGCAGTGACACCATGACTTCTGTCCACAGTTCCCTCGATATGGACATGGAAGTTGATCTCTCTGGACTCTTAGAGTCCATAGTGGATTCAGATGAGGAAGAAGATCTTGAAGAAAGCATGGACAGTCTCACAGTACGTGATGCTGTTCGTGAATGCCTCGAAAAAGATCCAAGTGAAAGAACAGATGACGACATTGAAATTCTCCTAGAATTTACACAACATTTAAAGGCATTCACTAATATGACACTCACAGTGAGACGGGCATTATGTGCAGTAATGGTTTTTGCTGTTGTTGAGAAAGCTGGTACAGTTGTTATGAATGATGGTGAAGAACATGACTCCTGGTCAGTCCTGATCAATGGACATGTCGGAATTGAACATCAAAATGGTGAAATTGAATATCTGAATGTCGGAGATAGTTTTGGAATGGCTGAAGCTACTTTAGAGAAATTGTATCACAGAGGGGTCATGACTACAAGATGTGATGATTGTCAGTTTGTATGTATCACCCAAACTGATTACTACCGCATATTACATCAAGGTGAAGAAAATATCAGGCGTCATGAGAATGAAAATGGTGTTGTAGTATTAGTAACTGAATATAGAGGAGCAGCTGGTGAGTCGGGTCGGCAACAAGGACATGTTGTAATCAGAGGAACACCTGAGCACTTAATGTTGCAACTCATTGAAGACAACTCTCGTGATTCTACATATGTAGAAGATTTCCTTCTTACTCACAGAACTTTCATAGAAAGCCCATTGGTAGTTGCCAAACAGCTACTGGCATGGTTCTCGGAACCAACAGTTCGCGATAAAGTTACAAGAGTTGTTTTACTTTGGGTTAACAATCATTTTACTGATTTTGAAACAGACCCAACTATGATGGAATTCTTGGAAAGTTTTGAGACTGCTTTGGAAACTAATAAAATGGAAAGTCAGTTAAGGCTGCTGAATATTGCATGCTCTGCAAAGGCTAGAACTCGAAGTGTAACACTGTCTCGTCCTTCAAGGGATGAACCATTAAATTTCACCATTCTAGGAGGATACGAAAGAGGATATGGTATTTTTATACTAAAAGTTGAAAAACATTCAAAAGCAGAAGAAGTAGGCCTGAAAAGAGGTGATCAAGTTATTGAGGTAAATGGACAATCTTTCCAACATGTCAGCCATGCAAAGGCTATGGAAATTATAACGGGTTCAACACATTTAAGCATCACAGTAAAAAGTAATCTATTGAGCTTTAAGCAAATGTTACTGATGCCTGAAAATTCGCCCCGACAACGTGGCTGCGCCAATATGGTACGTTGGCAAACAGATCCCAGAGCTCGACTTTCTACTGCAGAGTTATTAACTGACGATCCTATTATTTTGACACCTGTTTTTCAATCTCCTACCAAAAAACCACAGCAGCTCAGTATCAAGAAGGAACCACAAAAAGGATTTATGACATTAGGCCCTAAAAGAAGACTTCAAAAAGCCTTAATGAAAATGAACATTCTTCCAAAAAATACTATCACAGATGGTTTGCATAATGATGACAGTATATTATCAAATTCTGAATCTCTTAACAAAGCTAACTCAAGTACTTCTTTTTATAATTCACACAGTAATCCTGATTTAATATCAATTTGTTATGATGAATACCAATCTTCTGATTATCCTGAACATGTATTAAAAGTGTATAGAGCAGATCAAACTTGCAAATATCTACTAGTACACAAAGAGACCACTGCAAGAGAAGTAGTAATGTTAACTTTACAAGAATTTGGAATCACTGATCCAAGTTCTAACTTTTCTCTGTGTGAAGTGTCCGTTGCACAGGGTGGTATAATAAAGCAACACCGCTTACCAGATCAGCTTCAAAATCTTGCTGAACGAATTGGGCTTAGTTCCAGGTATTATTTAAAAACAAATGGAATAAGTGAAACTTTAGTTCCTGATGAAATGGCTCCAGAACTTCTACGAGAAAGCGTTGTCCATTTTCTACAGTTAAATGCTGTGGAAGTAGCAGTGCAGTTAACATTACAAGACTTTTGCATCTTTCGCCAAATTGAGAGCACGGAGTATGTCGATGATTTGTTTGAGCTGAAGAGTAGGTATGGTACTCCTATGCTATCCCAATTTGCTGAACTTGTGAACAAAGAAATGTTCTGGGTAGTAACAGAAGTGGTTAATGAACAAAATATTGTTCGAAGATCTAAAATAATAAAACAATTTATAAAAGTAGCAAGACATTGCAAAGAATGCAAGAATTTCAATTCTATGTTTGCTATTATATCAGGATTAGGACATGGTGCAGTGTCCAGATTGAGAATGACTTGGGAAAAATTACCCACTAAATACTACAAACTCTTCACTGATCTCCAAATGCTAATGGATCCTTCCAGGAATATGTCTAAATATAGACAATTGGTTACAACTGAGCAAGGAAGATCACCAGTTATTCCATTTTATCCAGTTGTAAAAAAAGATCTTACTTTTATTCACCTTGGTAATGATACAAAAGTTGAAGGAATGGTCAACTTTGAAAAACTTCGAATGATAGCTAAAGAAGTCAGAACTCTCACTAACATGTGTAGCTCGCCCTATGATTTATTTTCTTTATTGGAATTGGGTAAACAACCACCCTCGAGTGCAATGGTTGCTCTGAATCAACTCACGACAGGAGGAGTTCAACAAGGTCAAGTGACTGTGAAGAGACGGAAGAAATCGTCAAACGTTCCTAATCCCAAGAAAATGTTTGAAGAAGCACAAATGGTTCGAAGGGTAAAGGCCTATTTGAACCGTATGCACGTGGAAACTGACGAGGAGAGACTCCACGCTATGTCGCTCGAGTGCGAGGGATCCGGGCCGGCCCCCGCAATGCCTCGCCGCCGACACCCGTCGCCCTCTCTATCAACAACGAGTAGCGCGTCATCAGCTAGCGAAAGCAAAAAGAGTTTCGCCGGCAATAAATTCGGCGCTGCTTCTCCTCAAGCCGTTAAGAAGCTACTAGCTTTATCGGAGCCGGCAAAAACGCGGCCGCATCAGCCGAGACCACCGCCACCGTCCGGTCCGTCGCCTTGTACACACCGGCGCGACGGTCCCGTGCCTGGTATTTGCTGTCCTCGTACAGCGCACGAGAGATCACACTCTGATACGCCGACGCCTTTGCCTGTTGATTTGTCAGCTGAAAGTAGTAGTGTGACATCTCTAGTAAACTTGCCATTGCGAAAGACGGGCTCTGCGACGTCAAGCGACAGCGGACATGGGTCGTGCACTGCGCAGAGCTGCGTGAGGCCGGTGCCCCCGCCGCGCATGCCGCAGCCGTACACGCTGGCCGCCCAAGTGGCGCGCCTCGAGCGCCTCAGTCGCGCGCACTCCCACGAGGGGGTCACGAGGCCCTACGACTATTACCATGACACGCCAGATGACGACGATGACGATCAACAAGTATCAGCGGTTTAAAAAAATTTAATACTCCTTTAAATCAATGTCTATTTATATAGTTCACTGTTCTGTAATCTCAATTGACAAATAGGAAGCACATGTTTATATAATTTTCGTAATTAATTATTATCATATTGTATGTACTCTTACAGCTAAGTCTAAAGACTGTATAATTAAGACGATTTCTTAGTGTTTATATAGTGTAAAATTTTCATTATTTAGTAAGCCATGCCTCTAAATACTAATTAATTATATTATAATTATTATAATGTGACCCACCATTTCCAGTTTTACCTAGAAAATGATGTTTGATGTATACCAATTCAAATGTGACCTGTTGTGTATTCACCAGTTGGTATATCTACATTCCGTTATTTGTGTAATATATTAATAATGTTCATTATTTATAATTGTGAAACTTAGACCAAATAATAATTAATGTACCTTTTAACATTTATGATTGAAATGATTTTATGTTGTAGTAATGGTAGCTTTGTGGACCAACAATAGGTTTGAATGTTATTTCTCATGGTAGCAGCTTCAGTTCTGTTAATATCATGGTTTTAGTCATATACATAATTGTAAATAATAAATACTATTCCTTTAAATTATTAATTTGTTTCAATAGTCTCTAGTCAATCGCTTTTTTGTCATCTTCGCGTTGTGTGCTGATGGTGGTAGTGCCTGGCGATATGACAACTTTGGGAGTCACACAGGCAGTTTATTTTTGTTAAATGCGTACTATCACTATGCTATAACGAGAAAATAATTGCATTTCTCGAAATTCCACAAACAGCGCTGTCTGCGGGATCAACGTCCATCTTGCTTGAAATTAAAGGAATATTGGCGCCAATTTTATCGTCATACACGTGGACCGTTCAAGTGTAGCCATCCTGGCGCCACGCAGTGCTCATGTAGCCAAGCTCGTAGGCAGACAGCAGCGCCCCAAAGTTGTGGCCGCTAGCGGGAGATTATGTTTATTGTCGCGATAATGCTTTTAGAATGTATAGTACGCGTGATTTGAATGCATTCGGGCTATGAGGTTGTGGGGCGAAAGCACCTTCCATGAAATAAAGCTCCCTTGCTGCATATTAACTCGAGCAGCGTTTTCCAGCACTAGTGCATATCTCAGAGCTGCACTGTACTCAGATCGAGCACTTCTGTACGTTATACTTACGTTCATCATCGTTAATGTTGGTCCCAGCAAAACAATCATCTTTCGCTTCATCTGCATTCATAAATCTATCATAAACGACTGTTATTTACAGGTTCTGGCATCGTTTATCCATATAAATTAGAATGTCCATATTGGTCGCCACCTTTAGAACTAATAATTCTCGGCCATTTTGAACTTGATATGTTTTAAGGCTCTAATTTGGGGTCAGGTCTACTATGTGGGGATGGTTGGAGGAGCACATATTTTCGCTGCGTGAGCTATCTTCACAAATGCACTCCGCTCACATTTAACATCAGTGTGGAGCGAGATTATTATCTACGCCTTGTCGCCTGTTACGTGCCACTCGAAACGACCTAATGGATCATTCACAGGAATCATCGTTAAAGAAGTTCAAAAAACATCCTAAAACATACCGTAAACACGTCCAACAAACCTATAGGTAGTTGCCCAGATGAGGATTTCTCGGGCAGCGCTTTCGCTATAAGATATACGGTAGGTATTATGAAAAAATAGTCAATGTTCATCAGATTAAATTTTATTTCATCTGAATTGTGCTAGATAATCTGTTTCCAATGGGTGCAATTCATGCGCAGGAATGACTAGACTGTGCAGTGGCGGCCCGAGGTCAAAGTGTTGCATTTCTTCCAAAGATCTTACAATAATTCGCTGATCACTTGCCCCAACTCGTGATAGCCCAACGGCAATGCTGCTTTTATCTATTCCTGTTGAAATTAGAAAGGTAATTGTTTTTTATTTTCTAGAACATGCATAGTGATTATAATGGATCAGAAAGTAACACAACAAAATACACCAATCAACTTAATTCAGACATGTCACAAGTGTCTAGACTTTCCATTGCAAGTTAAACACAAACTAACTTTATGCACATCAATTAAATTGCAAGTCAGTTACTAGACGAGTTATCATCTGACAGGCATTTTACGGTTTAGACAGAGCGTGCGGCCGGCGCTAAGTTAAGACAGGCATTTGTGAATTTCGCGCGTCGCCCACGTAGCCATGCCATGACACGCACGCACCGTGCGCGGCGAGCTACACGTGCGTAGTCCATGCAATGCATTAATGGAAAACTAGATAATAAGATTAGTTTGTTTAGTTGGCTTTGAGATCTTTTAACTATAGACAGGTATTTTTCTGAATAATCAGGCGCTTTATGCTTTCTAGACAGGCTTCCTCACTGAAAAAGATGGTAACCCTAGTTACAAATTTAAATTGCTATCTGGGCAATAAAGCATACTTACGGTAGACTATAATATAATTATTGGCCCCTTAAGCGGAATTCTTCATTTCTTTGTATGTAGTAAATAAATTTTTATTTTTCGATTGAATGTAGTCCACAGTGATGTTAAACAGGGTATGATTGTCAAAATAAGAAGACTTTAAACAGCTCAATATTATTATGTATTAAAATATTAAAAAAAAAAGTCTCAAATGAATAGAATCGATCCTCGAGGTACAATAATTGGCCCCCTCAGACCAAATAAAAAGTAAAGACGGAGTCTGCCGAACCAAAAAGTGAAGCCGGTTTTTTATGTATGTAGTGCATTAGCCAGTGTTACCATAGTCATATAAAACACCCCAATATTAGAAAAATGTAATAACGTTATTTCAATAACGTTATTACATTTTTAATAACGTTATAAAATATTGGAAAAAAATATCGTAAGCTTATTCTCTAAACCTCTCGTGAGCCAAAGGTCATACGTCGTTCTCACCTACAAGTGCCGGACTTCTTTATGGACCGCCCGCCCGCTGGGTGGGAACGATTGCATTGTTCTGCCGATTTCTCTGTTATTTTGTAAAAATACCCTTCACAAACGTATATTTGGATTCTCCATAAAATTCTCAATAAAACAGTGTGTACACAATGCGTCATGTCTATAATTTATTTTAAATACATTATGGTAAACTCAGGAAAGATAATAAAAAATCGTTTAAATAGGTAAAAAGAGGTGTATTTTCAAAATTTGTAAATTATAAATCCAGGTTTTTGTACATATAGAATGTACTATATATGAATGAATGTATATAATAACTTACCAAATACAATTATAAAATATAACACGCAACAGAAAAAAAAGGGTCGTGTTGCAAGTGTTGATAAAAACAAATGCGAGATCCAAGTGCCTTGATTTATGTGTTGACGTTTAATTATGTTGGATTGATTATTTTACTTTAGTTACAAGTCTCGGATGGAATAGGTTTGTTCATTTTATAGTTTCAAGCACTCGCAACAAGGCACTTGAAATCGCTTACAAATCAGTCATCTCAACTTTATGTCGATAAAACGAAAAGCATATACAAATGTTGATAAACAGTTTCTTTTATTAAAATGTACATGAAATTTTCTATAGAATACACAAAATATAATCACTAGTTCCTATACAAGAACATAATAAAATAAATCCACAAACATCGCGAATTTTGGGTCAAAAAGGCCATTAAAAAGTACAATACAAATAAAATTACAAATATATTATTATTTTACAAATCGTCGCTCTGAAAATGAGTCGAACAAACCACGCTGCGGGAAGCTGGTTGCCACAATGGTGCATTTCTACTCTTACGAATGACTGCAATCCACTTCTCTTTTAGATCTTGATCTCGATTAGGAAATCTTAAAAAGAACGTATATAAAATAATGTGTATTACATCCCAAAAATTTATACGAATACATAAAGAAAAAAGATGTTTCGTGTAATTGTTTATCCATGCATTACAATATTCGAATAATATAAAAGTATGCCACACAATGTATATAATAAAATAACGTTACGTTCGTTATATTTCACGCTACCCAACAAAAGGGTAAAACTGTAACAAATAATCATGGCAACATTTCGTTCAGGTTTTGTTTACAAAGCGACAACCTCAAATTTGATTTTGATTAATTGAAAATAGCAGTTTATAACTTTACTTACGTATGAAATGTGATTCCATCCTGTTTTTTATTCTTGGAAGATTGGTTTTTACACGTTTTCACTACACAATTCGGCATTTTCTCTAATAAATATTGTAATTTATTATTACGTCACACTCCGGGCGTCGGGATAACTCGACTGAGAAGCCAAGGCGTAGTTTCGTTGCATGTGTGTGCGTGTAACTGTGTATGTACACGGCGAGGCGTAGTTTTATCGGCTTCACTTTTTGGTTCGGCAGACTCCGTCTATACTTTTTATTTGGTCTGAGTTGGCCCCCACGTATATCAGCGAGTGGCCCTCTGGATATTTTTTAATTTTATTATATTTATCTTAATTTAACATTCTTAGTTAAGTATAATGGCCTGTGCAGACAACGAACTTTTGTCTTGATTGAGCTTGAAGGACAAAAGTCCCTCAAGCTTTAAAAAAATGTCCACCGAAGACTTGTCAAGTCCTCGATGTGCGGACAATTTGTGGGTCGAAAATTTAGAAAAGCACACACTATGCAAGTGAATCTTCTCAAATTACGTTGTGTTGTAATTAACATGAAGTTTAAGAAAATGAGAACGTTTTAAAATGAATACTAGGTCGAACTCTTTAAATCGGATCGAGCGTGCAACGCAGAATAAAGTTCACTGAGTGCGTTGCTGTGCCTTGTCACATGACCTATATTTTAAATCGAAGTTCATATTCGTAGTGTATGGCAGATGGAGCGAGGCGAAAATATTCCGTCATAACTTAGCGAGGCAGCTGAGGGAGTAGCTAATTGGGCAGTGAGGTGGGCGACCACTGGCGGCGGTGCGGTGGTTGTGGACTTGGTTTAAAATTTTGTTTGGTGAATGATGGACCGGGAGTGGATCACGAGTGTGTGCGATGGACCGGCAGCGTCCGCACTGGGCCCATTCCGTATTGGGGCAATTTTGCACTCAGCCCATTCCGCACTGGAACCAATAACCACTCCGTTTTGAGTTGTTTGGGGAGTGCCTACTCCAAAAACGGAGTGTTTACTTTCTCTATGGCTGGTCGAACTGGTGCCGCTGGCGCCGTAAGTGCGGCGGCACCTAGCCATAGCAATCCAAACGTACTGGAACTACTTATACGCTTACGTTAGGTGGACGCCTGTTTGAAAGTAAACCGAAAGGCGAGTCGGAATTGATCCCTTTCAGAGTTGATATGTGCCATCATTATTCATCATCATCAAGGCTATTAATGTCCCTACTGCTGGGGCACAGGCCTTCCTTATGGATGGAATAGGGAGATTGGGCCATGACCCACCACGCGGGCCCAGCAAAGTTCAACTTTGTTCATTTGCTTCAACATGCTCGCCCATTTATTGACAAATCCAAACCATCCAGCTCTCAAAATCACATCTAGAGTTAGAGTTACACATATACTGCATGCGTGCGGGCGGCACAGTGTCAGCGACCGACGGAAGAAAGGTGCTTCCGCCCTGCAACCTCATACCCCGACTGCACTCTGATAGCGCGGTTACTGTATACAGTTGTGTTCTAGATACTACCACTATAGATACTACGTGTGCCATGTAGTATATACTAGTATGAAATATAAGGTTAGTCCTAATAAAATAAGAAAAGTACCTGAATTTGGTTTATTATTTATAATTTCAATTAATTGTGCAGCTGCTTCTTTAACTGACATAAATTTTGGATCCATGTACTGGCGAACTTTTTTCGTAAGCGATTCTTCAGTAGGTTCTTTCACTTTGATATCTAAAATATTTATAATTATATTTGATTAATAATTAAGCCCTCTTAAAAGGTTATTTTAATGAAATGTGTAACTATAGACTTATAATGACTTAAAATTTTAGAAAATCTAATAATAATCATAACCATTTATTCAGTTTAGATTGTTACAAGCACTTATGAATGTCTAATAGCTACGCCATCGGTTCGTCAATCTATGGCGGGAGACCTTATACTGAGAAGAACCGGCAAGAAACCCAGCAAGGGCTGTTTTTTTCTACCTGTTTTATTATTTACATAGTTGTCAAGTTGAAAAATGACTTCATAGATGATTCATGAAGTCACCTTTCATGACATAATGTGAAATTATACATTAATTGTTCACCTGCATTTTGATTGCTGTGTCATACAGTATAAATACAAATACTGTTATTTGTATTAGGTGTAACTAGACATTTACATCTTAAATATCAAAGTAGTTAGGGCAGACTCATCTCTGCTGGCAGCACCCGTTCACGAGCATGATGCATGAACCAGCCATAGCTTTGCTCTACCATATTTAAGGGAACGTAACAACCCGCCTCACACGACATCACCGAAGAGACTTTCAAGAGAGCATGACTACCCATAACCACCTATATTAAACACAACATACACACATCAAAAGTGTCTAGGGATCAACATATATTTTTGCAATAACTTTTCTCCTGATTGATATTAATTAAAATTTGCTTTAAGGATTCATCAAATAAAGTGTTTTCGTTTGTCACAGTAACGATAAACCAAGTCACCTTTGCATTAATAAAGAAATTTGCCATTTTCCTAATAAAGGGATTTTTGACATTTGAACCACTAACACAAAAGTTCAAAAAAAAGACTGAAATAACAGTTTTCTCTAAAATTTTATTGGGTAACTTAAACAATTAATAATCCGTATTTCTACCGCGAACACTAACAACACAAGAACATCGGTTTGGCATACTCAAAATGAGTTCATCCAAATCACGCTGTGGAATGGCCGCCCATGTTCGTTGCAACAACAAAAAAAGGTCTTCTTGCGACTGGATACCCTCCATATTCGGCAGAGCTCTTCTCTGTAGCATATCCCATGCATGCTCAATCGGGTTCAAGTCTGGCGACTGAGCAGGCCAGGGCAGGACATTGATGTTAGCTGCGGCGAGAGTCTGTCTTACAACTCTTGCGGTGTGCGGTCGTGCATTATCATGCATTAACTGAAATAAGGGACCGATTTGCACTTGTAGAGGAACGATGACGTCTGATACAATCGTCTCAGCATAAATTTGAGCGTTGAGGTTGCCTCTGATCCAAATCAACTCAGTTCTTCCGCCGATCCAAATACCCGCCCATACCATGATGGTTCCACCACTATAAGGATGGACTTCCTGGCAGGATTTTAATCGCTGTTGGCGTCCAGGGGTTCTCCAGTGTCGTATACGTCTTGTATCCGGTCTCATACCAAAACGAGACTCATCAGAAAAGCACACGAAACGCCATTGTTCTTCTGCCCAATTTCTGTGTTCAAGAGCCCATTGATATCGAATCCTACGATTGTGCATTGCTATAGGTGGTACCCGTAGCGGTCATCGGGAATGAAGGTTCACTTCATGCAAGCGGTTTCTGACTGTTTGGTCGCTAATTAAGTTCCCTGAAGAGTGATGAAGCCTCACGGCTAACATCATGGCGGTTATTGTTGGAGCTCTTCGAGTTAAGATTTGAATGTATCGGTCTTGTCTCCGTGTGGTGCAGCGATACCGTCCTCCATGGCGCTCAGCCACGGTACCAGTGCTTCGGTATCGTGTCCAAAGTCGACTGATAACACTCTGACTTGTATTCAGAGCTAAAGCCACAGTACGTTGCCGGGAACCAGCTTCTATCATTCCCACGGCTCTGAGCATTTCTTCCCTGCTTAAATGACGTCGCCGCTCCATAATAACGTTGGTTTTAATCAGTAGTAGGGAAACAGTAGCACTAATAATGTCTTCAATGCGTTGTATGTTTTTATAGGGAAAATATTGACAGCTGATTTTCATCTTTTACTCGAATTTGATTCACAGTTCCTGATTCAAATTATGAAATGCACCAAAAAGGATCCATATAAATTTATAAAATCATAAATTTATTACAAAGCCACATCTCAATCTCAAGAAATCCGCATAAAAATGCTTGATCCCTAGACACTTTTGATGTGTGTATTTACTTAAAATTAAAGTAATTTATCTGTAGGACACTGCAAAAAATTACAAAAGCAAAAACAATGGAGAAATCATGACCACACCGTTTTGTCATTCAAATGTTCTTATATAGTCTGATATTCTTCTGTAAGTAATCAACTTTAAATACAGTTTTTAAATTCAATAGATGTATCGTCAACACATGATTAATAATATAGATCATATAGAAATACACGTCGGAATGGTTGGAATAGTCAAGCGCCAGTCTGGCCTCGCTGTATTAGGGTTCGAAAACAATTTTGTTTGTGTTTGATACAACTTACAAAGTAGGTAATTATGACTTGGCGTTTTCAGTTTTTATATCAAAATTTCACACGCACATGTTATAATTATGTACACACACCCACCATAATAATTAGGGCACACGCGTTCAATAAAGATTCGCGAGGAAGACTGGCAAGCTGCATACAATACAGGAATAGGTAAACATTTTATTTATTACATGTGTTTGCAAAAAGCACCTCCAGGCATGATAAAAATCACTATTACATTTCATAAGATCCACAGGGATGAACAACTTGTATTACGAAAAAACAGCAGTACAACTATTGCATTCAATAACCTTTTACAAAACGTTATGCCCTTGAATTGAATACTCTTGAAAATATCTTGATGTGAGCAAAGCATTTGACTACGTAACACATAAGCTCCTCTTGGATAAATTACAAAGATATGGAAAGACTAAGATTACAGAACTAAAGGCAGATGGAGTGCACGGTACACAGATCGCATACTACCAAAGCAAATTTTAAGTAAAACGCGAATATCCACTTGCATCAGTCGCTACAATGCATCGTGTTGTGAGTATGTTTCGTGAATATTACCTAAGCTTTTAAGAAAATTGTGCCGCCTTGTCATAACATTGTAAAAACTATTAAAAAGACAAAAAAGTCTTTATTTTTGACTTCATATTTGCTTTGGTGGCCGCACTTGCGTGTTCCGTGCGTTTCATCTGACTTTTATTCTGTAATCTGAAGTATAATATTTCGGCTTAGTGGGAAAGATACTTTAAAAGCCATGTACAAGATGCAAGATAAATATAAGAAATTGTTTACGTCGAAATATAGACATAATACATTCAGTTGCATTAATATTATTTTTTAAACTGTATATGTTTTTTTTTCTCTATTTTTTTCCAGCGTTCTGTTCTACAACTTTTGACTGGAGTTGTGATTAACTTCTTCCTTCTAATTATCAGGGGGGAAATCCATTGACTCCTCCACCACGTGTCTGTTTGCAAGGCTGTTCTGTCCATCGATGAGGCTAAGGGGCGCCCTCCGCCGAAGCCTCTTGAAACAGTCGTCAATGCTAATAAGGCATGATGCCATATCATTAGGGTGTGATTTGAGGCGTGAACTATAACGTTTGATCACTTCTTCTATTTCTTCTTTAACATTTGGTACTCCTAAGTCTTTGTGTAATTGATTATTTGTTATGTACCACGGAGCATCAGCAATCATACGCAACGTTTTAGATTGAAACCGTTGTATTATTTGTATGTTTGAAGCAGAAGCAGTACCCCACAGCTGCAGTCCGTATGTCCACATTGGCTTCAGTACGCACTTGTATATTAGTAATTTGTTCTCCAAAGAAAGTTCAGATTTGCGGTTTATTAGCCAAAATAGATTTCTTTCCTGGAGTCCCAGAGCTTTCCTTTTCGTGAAGATGTGGTGTTTCCATGTCAGACGTCTGTCCAAATGTAAACCGAGGTATCCGGCGTTTTCTGCTTTAGGCAAAGGTATGTTGTTAAGAAAAACTGTGGGGCACGTATCATGTCTCAGTGTGAATGTTACATTGACAGATTTTGTTTCATTTGCTCTAATACGCCAGTCTTTGAGCCAACAAGATACTCCATCCAAACTTTCTTGCAGTATTTCAGATGCTACCACTGCATTCTCATGACTAGCAAGTATAGCAGTATCGTCAGCAAATGTGCCAACCAGAACTGCGTCATTAGATGGTAAGTCCGAGGTGTATAATAGGTATAGTGGACGCTACCCTGCGGGACACCAGCTTCAATTTGGTGTAAGGATGATATATCGTCTCCTTCGTTAACGTAGATATGGCGTTCCTTAAGATACGATTTTATAAATGTGTAGTAGTTTGCGGAAAAATGTAAAGAGATTTTGTGTACACGGTCAAACGCCAGTGAAATGTCCAAGAATGCAGCGGTGCAAAACTGTTTATTTTCAAATGTAGTATTGATTTTGTGTACAATTCGATGAACCTGCTCAATAGTTCCATGCGATGCTCGGAAACCAAATTGATGGTCAGGAATAAGTTTGGCTTCGCTTATTTATATGTGGTTTAAGTCTTTTCAAGAATAGCACCTCCAGAATCTTTGAAGGTACAGGTAAAAGACTGATTGGTCGATATGATGTTACGCTTTCAGGAGGTTTGCCCTGTTTCTGAATGAGAATAATCTCAGCTACTTTCCATTGAGGGGGACAGAAACTTCTTAACAATATAGCATTATACAACTGTGTTAGGAATACAAGGTCAATATCCGGAAGCTCACGTAGTACTTTACCGGTTATTAGGTCATACCCGGGGGCTTTATGCACTTTGAATTTTAAGATTGCTGACTTAACTTCCCGTTTGCTAAATTTAGGTATTGGTAAGTCCATTTGGTAGGTCTTATTTAATTGGTCCTGCACAGTTTTTGATTTTGTACCAAGGTCGGGGTTGGGTTTGAATACTTGACTTAGGTGTTCAGCAAAGATTTGGGCTTTTTCTGCGCCGGTTTTAGCCCATGTTCTGTCTTCCTTGCGTAAAGGGGACTTGTATGTTTTAGGCTGTCGTAACTTTTTCGTAGCCTTCCATAGAGAGTAGTTTGTTGCACTAGTTGCATCCAGGCCTGTCAAGTACTTTTTGACACTAGTATTTTTATTTTCTTTTATTAGTTCCTTCAGTTCGTAGGTAAGTTTATTAAAAATGGTTTTATCAGCAGGATGACGAGTTTCTTGCCATTTTTTCCTAGCTTTCCGTTTTCTTTGTATATAGTTAGCGATTTCCTTGGGATATGAAAAATTTGATATTTGTAGGCAAGGCGTTGGAGTTGCAGCCCATCCGGCTTGCTGGATGCAACTGTTAAACATTTCTACAGCTTCGATTATGTCATTATCCGATTTAAGAGGAATATCTGTAATTAAATTTTTATTCACTTCTTCTCGAAAGTATTCCCAGTTAGTTTTGTTTGTATGTAATCTACACTTAGGTTTATTATTATTTACTTCCTTGTCAATAATAATAGGAGAATGGTCTGAATGCAAGTCATAATTTGTATAACATACTATTTTTGATTCTGACAGTCCTTTGCTTACGAAAAAGTCTACAAGATCAGGCTTGCGTTTTAAGTCCGTTGGCCAGTAAGTTGGTTCCCTAGATGTGATTATAGTTAAGTTAAGAGCCAGAGAAGCCCGATAGAGTTCACGACCTTTGACTGTTGTAATTCTGGATCCCCATATTGTATTTTTAGAGTTGTAATCACCTCCCGCAATAAATCTCTGTCCAAGTGTTTCAAAGAAGTTTATGTAGTTTTCATATTTGAGATTATGTTTAGGTGGCATATACAGAGCAGACATTGTTATTTTTCCATTACTGTCTTCTATTGTTATGTTCGTCGCTTGGATAGCTTCAGTGCAGTAAGAGTCCGCCTTGTAATGCTTAATGTTTTTGCGGATGAGTATGCCAGAGCCTCCATGTGCATTGCCATCAGGGTGCATACTGTGATAAAGTATTTTGAGATTTTAAAGAAGCTTTTAGTCGTAAAGTGAGTTTCGGAAATTAATAATATGTCTATTTTATTTGTGTTTAGAAATGTTTCCACTTCAAGAGTGTGATTTGAGAGCCCATTGGCATTCCAAGTTGCGATTCTTAGTCAGCTGATTTGGGTGTTCCGGGTCAGCTGAGTTGTCAGGTTGACCAGGAGGTTAGTGATAGTTGTCATTTGTTGCATGATTTGTTTAAACATTTCCATCAATTGTTGTGTGTCTGACTTGTCTGTCTGTTGTGTCAGATTTTGTGATGATAAAGGGGTATTATCTTTTGAAGGGGGTTGTTTAGTGGTATAAGTTTTCTTTTTGTTGCCGACTACAGTTGCGTAACTTGGTTAGTCGTCTATGTTAATTGTTGGGTAGCTTTTTGTAATTTCTTTCGTCTCGTGTTGTTTATTGGCTTGACGTGATTCTCTTGGAATTTTTCGTGCATTTGGAAACTTTTGACTAAATAAATCTTTGTATACTATGCAGCCTTTGTAATTTGCGGGGTGGTTTCCTTCGCAGAGTGCACATTTGACAGTGTCCGATCGCTCTGTACGAGAACACAAAGCCGTTTTGTGAGTTCCAGCACATTTAATGCATTTTGGTTTGCGTCTACAATATGCTTTAGTATGGCCATATTGTTGGCAGTTAGCACATTGAGGAATGCTACGAGTTGGACGTGGTGGCTCTATTGTAACTGCTTGTCCCAGAAGCACTCTAATGTCGTAAATTTCTTTGTTGTTGCTTTTTTGTAGTATTTCAACTATAAACATACGCAATGGGTTTTTAGTGACTCTCTGCTTCATGTTCCAAATATTCATGACATTGTGACCGTATTTACTAAGGGCAATTTTAATTTCTTCTAAGTCTGTAGAAGAGTGCATATTTTTAACAATCACTTTAAAGTATCTTTCTTGCTTAGGTTTGTATGTGTAAAATTCAGTATCTTTCTTTTCAAGTTCTTTTACAATGATTTTATAAGCATCTGATGTTTTAGGTTGAATTTTGACTTGATCATTTCGTAGTATTCTTAATTCATAATTCTCATTAGCACATTCGTTTAGTAAGATTGAGAGTGGTTTAATATTGGTAACATTGTCTACAAAAATAGGAGGAGGCCTAGCCTCTTTTTCTTTCGGTGCAGGAACATCGGTTAAAGTATCATCGTCCGGTAGGTTTGCAAAGGAGTTAGAAGTTGGTATCGGTTGGCTTAGCCAGTATGTGCTGCTGGTTTTACTTTGTTTTTTTTGTCGCTGTACGTTGTCAGGACTAATCTTGTCTCTTTTACGTTTAGGTACCTCTGTCCAGTTATCGTTCGTCTCATCAGGTGTGTTTCCAATTTGATCTTGGGTAACATCCAAGTTTTTTCTTGATGTCTGTCTCATAAATAGGCCTGGGTGAAATATCTGTTGCCTCATTACTTTTTGACTCGTGTTAGTTGTTGTAGGATCCTTATCAGTCAGCAAAACTTTGCCCCCCCCCCCAGAGTACGCGGGGCAGCCTGAGCTAAGGTCAGGGAGGGATTCTCCGGCAACGCCGGTACCCTCCTGGGGTAATTTCTCTTTTAGTGTTGCTTCCATGATGTTTGTTGATTTTAAATCGGGGTTGTCTCCCCTAGCCACAGGTTCGGTTATAGCGCCGAAGGCTCGCTTTTGCCCTTCATACTTAGCTACTACAGTCACAAGGCAGATATTATGTGTGAAGCTTGTATCAAACTGTAGCATTGTCCGGGAGGGACGACCCACAAGTTGAAGTGTGGGCCCATCGCAAGACTGCATCGGCAGTTTTACATGGCGAGGACGTAGTATGAATAGGACTTGACGGTGCACGCCTGATAGCCCAGCTTCACACGCCAGGGCGTGCGTTACGGCATACTCAGCTTTTTATAGAAGTGCGTTTCCTGGCAGAAAAATCACCCCACTGAGACCAAACACCAATCTCCCCTCCCTGTAAAACTGTATATGTAGTAATTTTTTAATAGTTGAATTTGCATGTGGGTAGAGATGTCTGCAAAGATAAAACTTTACCAGTTTTCCCCCAATCAACTTGTTTCGCATTTTTAACAAATTTTGTTTACTATATATTATTATAATAAATATTACTATACAGTGTGTCCCATAAGTCCTTTGAAATTTAAATTTCGAATAAAATTCAAATGGCGTGCAGGGATGGCGCGCGGGGTGCGGGGGAAGCACCAACGGTCTTTCGGAATTCAATCGGCATGGAGCGTTTCACCGGAGCGGACCGTGCTTTTTGTGTGCGTGAGTTTTTTTCTGATGAGGCTCACTTTCACATCAACAGCCATGTCAATAGACAAAATTGTCGCTAATGGAGTAGCGTAAACCCTCGTCGCAAACATCAAAGGCCCTTACATAGCCTTAAAGTCACAGTTTGGGCGGCTATATAGCTATCATAGGCCCATACTTTTTTGAGAACGAACATGGTTATGCAGTACTAATACTTCAGAGCGGTATGTGTCAATGATCGAGGATTTTTTTACACCAGAGTTGCAGAATTTTCCAATGGACTCTTTCTTATAGGGTTACCTTAAGTCTAAAGTCTATGAAACAAATCTGCGGTCAATTGATGATTTAAAAGAAAATATCCGGCGAGAAATGTCAAGCATTTTAGAGCATACTTGCCGTAGTGCCGCAGTGATAGAAAATTTTAGTCGTCGTTTACAGGAGTGCCCAGACCAAAATGGAGCACATTTAGATGAAGTGATTTTTAAAAAATAATTCCCTTTTAATGTAAATTACTAAACAATAAATAAAAATTTCATATTGTACATAGTTTTTTTTTTGGTTCAAAGGACTTATGGGACACCCTGTATTATGGGTGTGGCGATGCAAATCTTAGCCCAAAACACACCAATGTCAGATAAATTATCTGTCTGTTCCACATTAATTTTTCAGTCAGAAAAATTTAAAAGCAAATTAATTTTTAAGTAAATTGCATAAAAACCACATTCATTGACATTTAAAAAAATTACTCACCCAATAAACATAGTGTGTGTAGATTTCTTGAATAGTTATTTAAAATTTTCTCAAAATAGCTGTCTGGTTTCCAGGTATTAGTCCAATATGGAACTGAAACAGTTTCTCCAAAGTTGTATAGTTGTAATCCACAACAACTAACAGCATTCATTATGGATGCATTATGTACAATCTACAATAGTACAAATGGAATGTTATAAATTTTTATACATTGATATTATACAACAAGAACAAAGATTTGCTATTTTGTCCTTAATATTACTATATTGTACTGCTGGTAAACTTTCATTTAGATATTAAAGGTCTAGAATTAACTTTTTAGCTGTGTCTTCGTTCTTCTTATACCTGTGATTTTACTCCTAATTGTTTAGCTCGTAACAGCATATCAGTATGTGTAGTGGCACCCAAGGGATCCCCGACCACAAGTAAAGCTATTTCTTTCTGCTTTGCTTCTTGTAATATGTCATCAATGCCACTCTCACATAGTTCCCGATCAGCAATGAGTAATGGTCTGCCATAAAATTCTTCCTAAATAAAACATTCATAATAAAATGACTAAAAAAACTTTTTAGAGATAATTTTTGAGTATTTGGGATATACTGATATAGTGGCGGTTCATTAAACATTCTACTAAGAATTCCCTTTACTGTCTTCAGCGTATTAAGTTTAATCAACTTTATAATGAGTGTAATAGAACTTACCAAAGCATCTTTTCCCACTGTGAGAATGGAAGTATAACCCTCAAGCAAAACTTTATCACATTTTCTTATTATTTCTAGTCCCTTAACTGTTATATCTTTAGCATCACCTAATCCTAAACCGACTAAATAAAACATTCTAAAAATAATAACTAAATCAAGGAAAAAGGAGAAATCTTGGTAAACCTAACCACAGAACAATATTACTCTAGAACCTAACCTTAACAAATTTTTTTTTTTTTGTTGAAGTTCTCCCGTTTTAGGAAAGGCAAAGGGAACAATGCCCATACAGCCTGGTCTTTAATTAAATTAATCTTCTTTTTGTTTTTACTTTTTACATTAGAATGTCGGTGTGACGCATTCTAATGTTTCTTGGAGTGTTTGGCACGAAATGTATCGAGTTGGCTTTTTCGATAAGCTTCTGTGAGGTAGTCAACACTACAATAAAATTCTCACGTCCACTTGACCGGAATAGCGTATATTTTAACGATTCCACTAATTCTTCAGTTACGCAGACAGTTGTTACACAAAACCACACCAATTTTATTTCACAATATCCACTATGAACGAATTTAAGAATAATTAAAATAAGACGCCAACCGCACTCGATGAAATCCCGCCAAAAACCCCCTTAACATAAAATAAGTATAACACAGACAGATTATTTATAATAGATACTACGTTTAAGAGGTGGGTTAACTATCAGTTTGGCATCAGTTCAGCCCATCAGTCTGTTAAGCTGTAATTCAAGGGTTACACGATCAGTTTGGCGTCAGTTCAGTCCATCAGTTTGCTCAGAATGCCGTGAGAATTATCGTCTAACCAGTTGACTGACTGACTGATGGTCCAGAATGACAAAAATTAAATATTTTAATTTTTTTATCATTCTGTTGTGATTGACATCAGACTGATGCCAGACTGACCGTGTAACCGCTCGAATCATTCCCGCGTCAGTCACCGTCCGCGACGCAATGGAGCAAGACGTGCCAAACGACGAAGAATTGCCGCCGCCGGCGTCGCCCGCGCCGCTGCCGAGCGCTTCACTCCCGCCACCGCCAATCGAGATAGAAAAAGAGTTCATTGTCAAATTCGAGTCCTTGCCAGAGTTATGGGATAAAACCCAATATTTATATTGCAATAAATATAAGGGGAATGACGCTTTGCAAAAACTCCTCAATATATATATAAAAATTAAACCCGGGGCAACAATAGAGGATGTCAAAAAAAAATAAACGTTTTACGGTCCAACTACAGGAGAGAGCTTAAGAAAATTATTTCATCGCGAAGATCGGGGTCTAGTACAAATGACTTATACCGTCCAAAAAGTTGGACTTTCGAATATCTAAAATTTTTGGATAAATTTGAGCAGCCTGTTCCGGTAGATCGGGTAAGTAAAAACATATTTTCTATGTAGTGTAGGTACATAATTAGTGATGGGCATTTATCCGAGTAAATACTAAAAAGTGTAGTAATTAGAATATCGGTTTCGATTACTTATCAAAATAGTACTATTACTATTTTGACAAGTACAACCTAAGTAGTGACGCCAGATTAAATATGTCGAAATCCAAGATGGCGGCCAAGTTTTTTTTGTTTGTGGATCGATTTTTCATTTAATAAATTAAGATGCGTGTAATGTTCTCTTTTTTGCAGCCAGGTTTTCATCCATCGCTTCCTTTTTACGCGTTTCTTTAGCAGTAAAGCGATAATTATAATAGCACAGGCTCTTTTATTCTTCAAAGTATCCATGGCTTGGCAGGATGAGGTGACTCACTTGACTGTTCTCTTCACTTTACAAAATGATGACTACGTAAGTTTTATCAGTCTGCTGTCAGTCTAGACTGAGCGTGTAACCGTGTTTTTCATCCATCATTCTGGCATCAGTCTTAGCCGGACCAAACTGATGGACTGAACTGACGCCAAACTGATCGTGTGACACGTTCAGTGTTGCCAACTCGGATTTTGAAAAAGACGTAGGTCCGATGAGAAAATTACGTAGAATCGGTAAATTTTGCATATGAAAAGTAAGTAGATCTACGTACTTTTTTTTGAGTGAAGTGAAGAAGTTATTTGATACCGAATAAAACGAGTATTTTGTTATACAATTTGTTTAAGAACGGGAGATAGAACAAAGAGTTCTTGGAGAAGTCGCTGCATTGGAAATTTGGAAGCATTTGCCATGCTGTGGTAAACATTTACCATCAGACACAGACACTGGTGGGTGCCGATTCTGGATGGTTCTCTAAATTTAAAACTTAATTTAACATCAGTCTCTCCTTTTCATTCTGTATAGAGAATGACAAGGATAAACTGTTGTTAAATGGGCTAGTTGACACTTTTTGGAATTATGTTTTAAATTGTTAATAATTGTTCAATCAGAACGAAATATTATTTTTTTTTTTACCTAGAAGACATACAAAAACGCTCTTTAGTCTATAGACTTATCTATGCTATGACGTCAAAACATTTGTAAACAAACACTCGCAAGCAAGAAAATAAAAAAAATAAAAAATAATATAATAATTTTTCGTAGGAAATAAACAGCTAAGTTAATATTATAAAACCATGATTTCTAATAGATCACATGAAAAATATAGTAGTTATCATGATACACTTGGTAAAAGACTCTAGAAAAGTTGGGGTTTAAATTGCCAAGAGAAAAAACATACTTACACATGAACATATGCTTAAAACTTGCTAAATCCTGTAACTTTATCGACTGAAAGTCTTTTCTTTTTGCAAAGATCAATTCGATCAATCAATTTTTAAGGTTATGAATGTACCTACAAGGTCAAAGAGTTTTGTCGTTTCTGCTTTCACAAATCCTGCGTCCAGCATTAATTTAGTCAACAAAACCAATAACGGGAACCTTTTCTACAAGATACAAGAGTGTTTAGATACATCTTTATAAGAAATAAACATTTGTATAGTTTTTAGTAAAGTAACGGAAAATATTCTTCTTTATTCTAGTGAATTAAGTTATTTTACAAATTTGAAAAAAAATAAGAAAATACGTAGATTCTGGGACTGAAGTTAGTAGGTTTCCAGAAAAGGCCTAAAATACGTAGATCTACGTAAAAAGACGTAGAGTTGGCAACACTGGACACGTTGCCGACGTTGCCGTCAGTCTCCCGTCAGTCACCACTCGGACAGCGATCGGTGAACACGACGAAAATGCATACGCGCCGCCTGCGCCTTTGGTCTCCGCGCCACGAAGTCCCGAGACGTCCCGGGACTTCGATACTTTTAATAATAACATTTGTATTGAGTTAATTTCTGGTAAAACGTTTCAATAAAAAGGCACTTTTTAGTAAAAATCAATATTTATTAAACATAAAATAATAAATACAGTTATAATCATAGTAACAATCATACTAATTAACTATTATATAATACTAGCTGTCCCAGTGAACTTCGTACCACCATAAGAAATAGGGGTTAATGGTAGAAGAGTGAAAATTTAGGGTTGTGTGTATTTTTGTATGATGTATCATAAAAAAAAACAAAATAATTGTCCATAAAAATTATAATTTAAGGGTGGAGCACCCTTAACATTTAGGGGGATGAAAAATAGATGTTGTCTGATTCTCAAACCTACTGAATATGCATATAAATTTCAAGAAATCGGTCGAACCGTTTCGGAGTAGTCAAATTACGCACACGAGAATTTTATATGTTAGATTTAGTATTTGGTCCTAATGATAACATTCGTAATTCTCATAATCACAGATTTGTTTTGTAATACGACGACCGGCATGGTCGAGTGGTTTGTACGCCGGGTTTGATGGTGTCGCTGACTCGAGAGGTCCCAGGTTCGAATCCCGGTGGGGGCAGATGTTTGTGTGCTGAATACGAGCATTTGTACTCCAGTCATGGATGTTTAATATGTATTTCTATACAAATATACTTATAATATGTACTTTATAAGTATTATATCCGTTACCCTAGTATCTCATAACACAAGCCTTACAATGCTTACTTTGAGGCTAGGCTAATTGGTGTGAGTGTTGGAAATATTAATAAAAAATATAAATAAACTAGTATAATGAGCTAGCAGTACTTCTTAATGCATTTATTATAAAATTACAACGGAAATCACATATTTAATCACATTTCTTCTCTTTATCACTCGAGCGCGTTGCTAGGATACTTGCAGCTCGACTCTACCGCGCAAGCGTGCAATTCGTAGGGTTGACGAGGCTGTAGGGGGATGACCTAGGGTTGTTACACACTCCCCCTCTAGTTCGAACCTAGCGCCCCCGCGTTTGGACTAGCGCCTAATGTCCCCACGGTCTGCTGTGCCTATTGTCTCCGCGGCCTACCACGCCTACGTCTTTCCCTAACTGGAGACTCGATAACGCCTACAAAAGGGGTCAAGGCAGACACATGGTACCGACCTATCATCTCTCCTCGAGAAGCTCCTTCTAACAGGTAAGTCGTCGGGCTTACAACCTCTCGGATCCGGTACGGCCCATCTCTTCTTGGTATAAACTTTGCAACTTGTCCCGTTCCGGTGTCATTAGCCCCCTGAGTCTTCAGCAGGATAAGGTCTCCGACCTTATAGTCGGGCGGCGGACGACGGCCCTTATCCGCGTATCTCTTATGAACGGCCTGCGCGCGCTCGTGCACGTCCCTGGCCTCTAAGAGCTCGTTAGCCAAGTTACGAAGATAAGGCGTAATGTTAGCGACGAAGTTATCACTATCCACAATAAACTTCATATCTGCCACAACGTCTGCCGGTGCGCGCAGCTCCCTACCAAAAGTTAAGTAAGCCGGTGAAAATCCAATGCTGGTTGTAACAACGGAATTCATCGCAAACCTAATGGCTGCGAGGTGGGTATCCCATGTTGTGTGATCTTTGCCCACGAGGATTGCTAACTGAGGCTTCAAATCGCGGTTTTTGCGTTCAACGGGGTTAGCTTCGGGGTGGTACAACGGCGTCAGAGACTGTTTGATACCCATCACGTGACAGGCCTGTTGCATTACCTCGGCAACAAACTGCACACCGTTGTCGCTTATCATTCTACGTCGCACTCCATATCTCAGGAATACTTCTGATATAAGAATTTAGGTGCACTCGACGCTGGTGGCGCTTTCTAAAGGGAAAAGCTCTACCCAACCAGTGCACACATCCTCCGCGACCAAAATCCAATTATTGCCCCTTGGAGTTCTCGGCAACGGACTAAATAAGTCCACTGACAAGTATTGTAGGAGACCTGCAGGCTTCTTGTTTATTGCTTTGTAGCGCTGACAGGCCACACAGCTCTTCAGGTAGTCTGTAACGAAGGTATTCATCCCTGGCCAAAAGTACCGGGACCTAATGCGCTGCAGAGTCCTTTCGGCGCCAAAATGCCCCGCGGTCGGAGCGTCATGAAACTCTTTGAGCACAAGCATCTGGCGGTTGCATATGGTAAGCATCTTGAAGTATGGGATTCGACACCTCGATGTCGCCGGTTGGCTCTCTTTCTCCGTCCTCGTCGCTGGGTATTTCGCGAGATGCGCTCGCTTGTCCAGCTTGTCTACGAGTGCGAGGCATTTTCTCTCGGCACTCGACAGCGGTCTCTCCTCAGCGGTGAACGTGAAAAATTTAGTTGTACTCCTGACAGTAATTGTTTGTCGCAGGTCGTTTTATTTTGTTCGACGCGTATTGTCGACGTCGAACCCGCTAGTTGAGCGCCATTTATAATGAGCCAGCAGTACTTCTTAATGCATTTATTATAAAATTACAACGGAAATCACATATATAATCATATTTCTTCTCTTTATCACTCGAGCGCGTTGCTAGGATACTCACAGCTCGACTCTACCGCGCAAGCGTGCAATTCGTAGGGTTGACGAGGCTGTATGGGGATGACCTAGGGTTGTTACAATAGTTAAAATAAAAAATAGACTTATAATTCAGTCTTATACATAAATTAACAAATTAAAATATTATTTTTATTAAGGGATAGTATAAATAAGTAACATGGCAAATATTAAACTAAAACTACACTAAAACTGTACAAATATTAAAAATATTAAAAAAATAGCTGCCCTAGGTCTTCCCCGTCGGCAAAGGTTCCCAGGACGCGGGCGGCATTTCCCCGCTGAATGGCGAGGCTTATGCGCTGGGCGAAATAGCCGCCAGCTCTGCGGTCTCCAGTGGTCTCCACCAATCTTTTTGCGATTTCTTTGAAAAGATGGTGGGCACCGCAGCCCTAGGGTCCCTGAGTCTCGACTCCAAACGCCGCAAATGTGAGGTCTCCACTGAGGCAATCATACTTGCGGCGCTTAAGGGCGTCTGCGGTCGAAGCAGCCGCGCCAGCCTGCATCGAGGTTCCGGGAATATGAGACGGGGCCAGAGTGTCGACGCAGGTTGCGTCCCACACAAGTGCCCATCCCAGCTTCTAAGGAACGAGTGTCATGCCGTCGGGCCTCTTACCGTCGTCGCGCGCCAGGCCGCTTGGTTCTAAAACGGCAGGCACGCTGGCGGAGGCGAGGGCCCTGCGGATGACATCGTTGATGCAGTGGTGGCGGGTTATACGGCCGGCACTCCTTGTGCAGGAGAGACCGTGATGGCCGAGGTTGGTGACAAACGCTCCGCACCGGCAAAGGTGGGGGACGACACAGGGCGAGCCAAGGCGCAAGGACGTGGCTATGCGAAAAGTTGAACGGTCTAGGAGCGTACCGATATTCGCGGAAGGCAGTACCTGCAGCTATAGTCCAGACTCCCACTCGCCAACGGCTAAGAGACGCGCACGGTCTGCGGGACTGCTAGCTGATTCTACAAGCGCATTGCGTTTCAGCCTGCAGAGTGGCGCGTCCCATAGTCGCTGGGAGGCAGAGTCCGTCGGGACGTCGGTGTCAGGGCAGGCTGCACTCCAGGTTGCTACGGCTTCATCTAGAAGCGAGAACAAGGACACGCTCAAAGGACGCCCAAGTATTTTCGCAACGAGTGGTTCGGTAGAGTGTATGGAAGAAATGAAGGCCGGGAGGGAGACGTCCGAAATGTTCCTTACACCCAAACCACCGAACCTAACTGGGAGTGATGCTTGGGTCCAGGAACGGAGGTAAAATTTTATATTTAAGACAGAGGAGAGAGTATGTCTTATGACACCGTCCAACTTTGTTAAGAGAGAGGGAAATTTCCAAAGTGGACAGCATCGCAAGACATACGTAAATTTAGGGACGAAAAGACAGTGCCGGATTATGACATAGGCCATTTGGCAGTTAATTTTGAGTAAAGGTTCAAAAACTTCTTCATATTTTTTTAAATTGTGATCTACAAAATCTGGGAGTGATTCATCAAAAATCGGGGACCCTAGGAGGCAAAGTGATTTCTTATCTAACAGTCTTATGCTTGGAGCTATTAGTTGGAATTTAGAAATGATTGCCTCCCTGTTGTCGAGGCTTTCTGGAACAAAAATCTCGCATTTTGCAAAATTTAGTTCCAGGCCTATTTTGCTAAACTCGTTTTTAAGCATAAGAAAATCAGAGAGGACTATGGTCACGTCGCCTCCTAGGGTGCCATCATCAAGATACCACATATTTAATTTAGAATTTAGATGGTCGATGATTGGGTGTATAGCCAGACTAAGGCCGAGAGAGTCACCCTGCTGGCATCCGACTGAGGAGGACAGGAGGTGGTCTTTATATAAAAGTATTGATGGTTTGCTGTAGCACTGCCACATAAAGTTATATAGAGCTGGAGCCCTCAGTCTGATTTGTGACAGCATGGTGCCCCTATCAACGGTATTGAAAGCGTTTTTGACGTCGACTTTTAAAATTATCTTACCACCCTTGGACTCTTCAAAGGCTCGGAGCGAATGTACGGCAGCCTCGCAGCCGCCTTTAGAGCCAAAACCAAGTTGTATAGGCTGGAAATAAGTCCTGAGCGTATCCGCTGTAGCTTTGCAGCAGATCTTAGCAACGAGACGTCGATATGTCGAACCTACTGCGATGGGGCAGATTCCGCCGTCTTTTTTTTTAATCGCGCATAAATTGGCTCCATATAGTAAGTAGGTCGACGATATCGGTGGCAACTTTCCCACTCAACATCAAATTGCACAGTGAGGTAATGGCCTCAAGCAGAGAGTCGCCGGCTTCACCACAGCATCCACTGGTAAGGTCCTTAAGGTGTTGTGGGGATAGGCCATCAAGGCCGCCCGCTGATCCTGGAAGAAAGGAAGAAAGTGCAAAGCGGACGGCAGCTTTGGATGTTTGAAGCGGTTGGTCTGCGAGGCCAGGTGCTGTGGGGAAAGTCGCGTCGCATGCTGGGGACGGGTGTTTGGCTTGCAGGGCAGAGAGAGTCTCTGGAGACTCCGGTGCCACCGCATCGTTAGAAAATAATAAACGCGCAGCACCCTTGATGTCGCCATCACTTATCTTATTTTCTATATATTTTAATGGGTTACGAATTGATGTTGGGGAGTAGGAAACTGGGGATTGGAATAAGGTCGGATTTAGGTTGGTACTGCAGTTGCGTTTAATAAGTGTCGTGAGCGACAAATCGCGGTCCGTGCCTTTTTGAATATGAAGGATACGAAAAGGAAAGGTTAGTAAACGCTCCCAGGAGTGGTTTGAGTTGAGGCGTACAGTATCTCGAATGAGTTTAGTCAGGTGTTGGGCGACGGTAACTCTTGCACCCATTGGGATACGTTTTAGCACTGGGACATGTTGTTTTAGATGGGCGATTTGGAGCCAAAATGGTTCGGATAAGTGTAAATTTTGAACAGGTAAAGAGGCTGGTAATGAGCTATGTATATTTAGAGGCTTATGGCATTTACCAATATGGATACGTAAGCCTCTCTCACCTTTGAAAAACCAGGGCTGCGCGCAGAGCCTGCACTGGACATGGTTCTCTACTGATGCGTTGGCAGTAGAAGTTCCTGCGTCTTGGCTTTGCATGCAACTTATCACTAATTCACTTATAAACTATTTAAATTAACAGAATTTGTAAAAAAATAAATAAAAACAGCCCTATATAAATATAATACAATAGAATTGGTCAGTTTTGGCAGCAGCAGTGGTGCGCAGACTGACACCGCGCATCTTGACAGCTGCGTGCGCAGGAGGACTCCGTAGAGTTATTTCTTCTGGAGCTATGTTGTAACTAGGCGACCCGGTACAACGCTTATGGTCTCCAGGGCGACCCTATGGCGTCGTGGTTGTCAAATGAGAGCAGCACTGATCAGCTGATTGTTTCAAAATTAGCACAATAACACACCGCACGACACCGTCCACACACTCCGGGCAAGAGGTGGCTCCAACGAACGCCAGCCACGGGTCCTTAGTGCCTTTGAATAGGTCGCACTATTTTTATTTCATTAAAATTGATGCGCATGTGTTGTCAACAGCCACCATTTTTCTAGTCTTCATAAATTAAAATCATCATGCAAACGTCACAGAACAAACATAATGTCGGCGCGGCAAACGCATTTATTATGTTGTGTGTTGTAGGTTTTTAGATTGGCTTTTCGCGTTATACGTTCACATGCGACTAAGTTCTTGGGATGACTGTCATCAGTCTGGACTGACCATGTAATCTGTCTATCAGTCTGGACTGATGGACTGAACTGATGCCAAACTGATCGTGTAACCCACCTCTAATAAACTGTAAACCTATCCTAATTTATATTGTTTAAGATTCTCCCTTTTCAGGAAGGCAAAGTGAACATTGTCCATACAGCCTAGTCCTAAGTTTTATTAATCGTTTTTTTTATTATTTTAATGTCGGTGTGACATTCTAATGTTTCTTGCAGTATTTGGCACGAAATGTATTGAGTTAGCTTTTTCGCTAAGCTTCTGTGAGGTAGTCCTATACCGTTCCTTTATTTTTTACTTGACATTGGCTGAACGTACACGTACAAATCGTCTGTCCTTGCCACAAAAAATGGTAGCGGTTTTGTTGACGGCCTATTGGATAAATGATAAATTCAAAAAAATCAAATAAAAGTAGGTATCTATCTGTTTTATTGCTATGACAAGACCTAATGCAGATTGATAAAATGATTTCACGAAAAGGACAAAAGGCAATAAATGAAGGAGTTGTCGGTAAATATATAAAAAAGGATACACCCCCTGACTTGCCCAGTAAGTTTGTTAGCTACGTTCCACCAATCTAGTGTTCTGTTAAGAAAAAAATTACATAAGTCATTGTTACTTTAGTTATAAATGTGTGGACGACTGGACACAATCGCAGACCACGAAGTCAACCGTTTGGTGCCAGTGATGGTACATCACAAAGTCATGAAAACAAGTTTGGTAAAGCACAGACTATGAGTGGACATGCTGGTAAATATACTCCCAGTGAATCAGTTCCAAATTTAGCACACAGGTAGGTTTATAATGATTATTAGCATTATAACGATTATACACTGTCCCTGTAGCATGAGCACCAGAATAAACATTATATTACTTGTTTAATTGAGTCTTATCAAACTCCAAAGTAAATTTAGAATTGGCCGTGATGAAAACAAGATATAATATCATTTCGAGGCTGGGATTCAATAACTTATCATTAGAACTTAACTACCTATAAAAAAATAGTATTATCTTGGTATTTGAAGATTTGACTATGCTTGTTTTGTCTACAAAAAAGTTTTCTTTTTAATTAAGGTTTGCTTATTTGTCAACTGGTAGCAGTGATACAGCAAGTACTTCAAGCAATTACAATTCACAATACCTCTTGGATTCAAATTTGGTTGGTAACTTGATTAAAATATAATATAACTTTTCTATCTTAGTAGGCATAGATATAAAAATGGACCCCATTATAGTATTCCTATTTAATATATTATTTATCCTTTTCAGGCATCACATTCAACACTTAATGAAATCGATGACTCATTCAGTAGACAAACTAGCTATAGATATTATAGGCAACAGCAGCAGGAAGATCCTATTTATCAGAATCAACAACAGGTTAAAACTAATATTATATGTGTTTAAAAATGTTACGGTTATCTATTTTATTTTAAAACAAATTTCATCTAATAGGTCCAGCAACAAAAACAACAGCAGTATGGATCAAGAGAGCTGAGCATGCCTAGATTGTCTTCCAACCTCAGCCTAACACCCAGATTACACCCTCCATCTCCACATACAATCCGGTTACATGCCTGCACAGAGAGTAATATGATTTTCCTTTTACATAAAACAAACATTTTGTATCAATGTAACAAAGTGAACAGCAGTAACTGGCATACTTGCATTGCAATGCCACATAGGCATAATAAGGTTGTATTGGACCAGGAACCTTGGAATAATATATTAATTATTCATAATGACTCATCAGTTTCATTACAATCAGTCAAATGGTTTTTAGATGAATAGAAGTCAAATATATGAATAAGTTTTTATATTAAAGTTCAACACATTCATTACTATTACATATTTATATAGATTATAACTAAATATTTTTCTTCTCAACTTTATATCAACCTTCTTTTAGCTTATACATCAGGCAGTCAATCATCACCAATTTATTCAAATTATGTCAACACATCTGTTATACCGTATACTAGCAAGAGTCATGGGAGCAATATTATCTCAAACACCCAAGGTATTGAATAAATAAATCGTACATAGGAAAAGAGCAATATAACTTTTACTATACAGGGTGTAAAAAGACCTTCCACATAGCAAAAAACCGCGAATTCTACCCATCATCAGGAACATTTTTTACTTCTAGGCTTCTTAATTTCTGTCCAAAAAATCACTATTTACATTTAAATTATTTCGTAACAAGTAATGGCTTTCGTAAGTCAGCACTGAATGTATGTCGACTGTAAGCGCACACAGATATACGCTTTCCAAAGATTCAACACAGTGTCTTACGCCACCTGAGTTGCGGTCTGTTGCGCGCTATACATTGCGTGGTACTGTCTATAATTAATTTTTAACTCCACAATATTTTTTTTCTAAGTTTCATATTTTGATGTATAGAATGCGTGGGCATTGCTTTGACGAAGGTCTTTATACACCCTGTATTATTATATAATATTGTACCATGTTTTATTCAAATTATAAAAGGTTCTGAAGATTGTGAGTTACCCTTACCGCCCGGGTGGTCGGCTGACCGTACACTGCGCGGCCGCCGCTACTACATGGATCACAATACTCAGACCACGCACTGGACGCATCCGTTAGAGAGCGTGCCCCGCCCCTGGCAACGGGTCTCCACGCCCCATCATGGCGTCTATTACTTCAAGTCAGTATTAGGCTGCTTTTCCACCAGAGATGTGCTATGCTACGTTGCTGTGGATGCGTTTGATATCCACCAATCAAATTCATTGGTCCACATAGCATAGCACTGGTGAAAACGGGTTCAACTAAGCTATGTTTTTTTATATGGAAGAATGCGTGCTCTGGATGCGCGCTATGATGTCCGCGCCACCCCCCTCATCGCGCCGCCGTCGCTCCTTCCCGCTTCCCTACTATCGATACATCGCATAGCTCGAGCTGCGCGTCTTCCTCGCGCAGCTACTTTGCGGCGGCGTATCTTCGCAGCACATCTTATTCGCGCCGCTACATAGCTTAGCATCAGTGGAAACGGTCACGTAGTTTCGTAGCTTAGCTGACACATCCTCGCAGCATAGCACATCTCTGGTGGAAAAGCACCCTAAATATAAGAGGAAACGGGCAATGTTTCTTCCGTGATTCCCCCTTGATTTTTATCACTTAAGAAATCAAATGCATATGTTATGGGCTAAGTGATTAATCGGGCATTTATCATAATGCCCAGGCAATATGAATTATGCCCATAAAGAGCGTGCAATGTGAATATAATCAATTAATTTATCACAATGCCCGGGCATTATGAATAATGCCCAGTGCCTATTAGGCAGTGATGTAAAGCATGTTTAATACTTTCAAATTAATACTTTGCTAGATAGACCGAGCATTACAAGTAATGATATCAATTATCGGGTAGAGTAATAATAAAAACATGTTTTATAGTTTAGTATTTATTTTTAAAATTTAAATAATCAGACTTCGGTTTTATTTCGTTCAATTTACGAAGGGCTACATTTAGAAACTATTAGTAATGCAGTTTGTTTGAAAAATTCATTAAATCTGTTAAATGTTCAGAATTTATGGTTCCCTATTTTTTAGGATGCAAGGAATAGGGAAGTAAGAACCAGTACTTCTACCTTATCTCCGGCGCTGTGAGAATAGCAGCCCCTCCGCCTTTGCGTGACAAAGTCACAAGCATCACTCCCCTTTACAGTTTCGGCCTTGGGCTGTACGGGTCGCACGATGCTTGCGGCTTTGTCACAGCAGGCGGGGGCTGCTCTCCCTCCACGCCTCCGGGCTCTAAAAAACACTCTAAAGGTAGGGCAGACCAAGACCATGGCGTGTCGGGGTTGAGCAAGTCGGTTCTGAATTAAAGACTGTTGTAAAGCCACATTTAATTTTTTTTCTAAGTGTTGAGCCCATACTATTTTTTTTATTTACCAAGATCTCAAAACAAACACAAAATGGCGAGACATCTGTCATTTTGACAATAGTACCAACGTTTTGAATTTATTCATACTGCCCGGTCCAAGCCATAAATTCAAGCTTTCTAAACACTGACTTATTACATGGACCACGAACCGTCCAGCATTATTTATAATGGCCGGGCAATGTGATAAATAGGTGTTTAGATTGTAATTAATCACTTGGCCCGATATGGCTGGGCATTATTCATACTGCCCTGGCATTGTGAATACTGCCCGCATTAATCACCTGGCCCATAACACATACATAAGATGTATTTTTATTCATTATATGCTCCTATGTCTTCCTTTTTACGATATTTCATAGTTTAAAGCAACTAGAATCCCTGAAAAATGTCATAAATAAAAAAAAATCACAGCAGAGATTCAGTAAGCATTAACAGCCTAGTATTAAGTACTAATTAATATTCTGTGGGTGCGATTTCTTTTACATATATATCTAATTTTCGAGGAGGAAATTGTCGAGCCAAACCTCGAATTTTGCAATTTTCAACGTTAGCTACGTCCCTATTCGCATGGTATTTGCCAAAGCGTGACATCATTAGTTTTTTTAAATACCTATTTCTCAAAATATCTCTCGCGTCCTCTCTTAAGCACATTCCCACTCAGGCAACCACAAAAACAGTTCTTTTAGCATGAACCAATCCCGAATTCGAATAGTTTGTGCGAAATGTTATTGTCAAATTTTGTATGGAAACTTGAACAGCAACGCCATAACGGACGCAACGAGAACTAAAAATCAGTACACATTGGACAATGACATTTCGCACTCGCAAACTATTCGAATTCGATATTGGCTCGTGCTAAGGGTACAGATTACTTAACAGTTACTACGTCCACGCTAGCTCCTATAGTAAGAGCCTATTTAGACTAGTAGCCTTTACGAATGTATTATATTAAACTATGAAGCTCCTTTTTAAATGGGTTTTCCAAATAAATTACTAATGCTAGTCATATATGCAGCGAATGTCGATTGTCGCGTAGCACACATTTTCAGTAGCGACTACCCAAGATACTGTTTTTTTATTAATTTGTTGAATACGGTATTAATATCATCACGCATCAAATTCGTATCTCACATAGGTATTAAAATAAGACAGTGTTACATAGATTCAGTAATAGGCATTCTGTCTGTTACAGAAAATCGTAATCGTACACCCTAAAAAGTGTAACTTATTAATTTGTTTTTATGGTTTCAGCGAGATAACTCAACAAACTACATATGCGCACCCTTGTCTAGTGGGTGGATGCTACTTGGTCAGTCCGTATGTGCCTACACTCGTGCCGCCATATTTGCTTGAGGAAATTCCACATTGGCTGATTGTGTATTCCAAGGGTAAATGTTTTTGTCTATGACTGAGCTATTTTTAAGATATTAAGGAGCATAATTGAAATTAGTTTTAAGTGATTCCCAAAGCGGTACTTTCTGGGGTGCGTGATCTTCATACTTTTTACGAGTATTGGGAATGAGTTAAAGATTTTTAGCAGCAGGCAGCACCAAAACCAGTTATGAATTGAATTTTGTTCTATGAGATGAAACGTTTGGACACCTCTTTACATTTATTTCATACTTCACTCATTCCCGCACGTCACCTTCAGCTATCCGCCCGGATAGTGGAAATTGCGAGTTCGAATGGATCAATCCCAGACGTCACCCCCAGCTCTGTCCCCTCCGGTGAATCCCGTCTAATGCCTGGACCACGAGGAAAATAAAAATATAATAAACTAAACTGTTACTTTTAATTTTAGCTGATCAAGAACTCGACCATAAACTGCGCTGGAACATGTTCCGTCTGAGTGAACTAGACTGTTACTCTGACATGTTGACGCGTTTGTACAAGCAAGAACTGCAGCTGATCGTCATGAAATATGAACAGTATAGGTGATTAAAACCTTTTTATTTCTTTGGTAGTAAAATTGTATGCTTGAACTTACAGAAGACCACAGCAGAACGACTTACTTTTTGGTGGTGCTGTGATTCTGTTGTTGAGTAAGTTTTCAGGACTCCATGGAATTGGAGATCGGTTCAGCACTTATTTGCCGTAAGAACAATGTTGCGACAGGGCTCGACATACACTTAACATTCAGGTGGGATATACTTAATATATATAGTTATCATTTTTCGTCTGTCGTACGCCGCCGTCGGTCCACTGAGATCGAACGAACGGCTTTACAATGACCATGGCGCGGCTCACTAACGTTAAATAGTGGCACCGTAACGTGAAACGGCACCGTACTGTACTGTGCTATGCCGTGCTGAGTTGAACGGATGCACGGTTGCTGTGCCCGTCGTACCACGACAATGTGTTGTTCAGGCGCTGCATCATCAAAACATTTTACGATCAGCCTTCAACTCGACATAGATCCCATCAGCTGTAAGTTATTCTGCTCTTGTTGATATGGAGGCATTATGAAAAAAAGAATATAACTTAAGTAATTCTAGAGGAAATACTTACGAAGCGAAGTATTGAAAGTAAGTTACCACAAGTTTTATTATTGCTTTAGAATGTCGGTACAAGTTTTGAAGAACTATGTATTATGTAAAATATTAGATCCAACTAATAAAACATCGAAAACGATACCGGAAATGGGTTTGCGACGTTGTCTTGCATTGTCGTGTATTTTACGCTACGCGGCACCATATACTGTGCAATCCTCTCAATAAGGCACAGCACCGTACGGTGCAGTTACAAGTTACGGCGCCGCGCTGCGGTCATGTGGCTAGATCCGAATGCGTTTCGGGTTTGATAGTCGCCGGAGAACATTCGCCACAGGGCTATATGTACTTGCTTTACATAGATACCTTATTACAGTTATAATGTTGCGGTTTTTATGGACAAACCGTCGATCAAGTGTGGCTTGATCATCAAGATCAACCCACTACCGTTCTCGCGACTTCGCGAGCGACACTTTTTGGATAAGTGATGGTCAGTTCACATCCAGAATCGAATGCGATTCGTGGTTGTATTCTACCTTTTCTTTCGCTATCAGTATAGCATGACCTACAAAAGGTGAGTGGCATACAATACACTGTTATTCACCTGAATTGTATAGTTTCTATTTTACCTGACCGTCTGTCTACAGCAGCACTGACACTACCACTGCCGTCGATCGCAAGGTCAATTTTATTTGGCATATTGTATGCATTCTGAATCATGGTTCCAAAGTAAAATTTCCTTTTGCACTTGTGTAACTGATTTAAATGTGAAATTATCCTCGTTTTAGGTCAGCGTTGCTGCAAGAAATAGAGAGGAGACGGCAAGCCTCGTTCCATGCACACTAATTCGAAATAATTCATTAATCATTTGCCTTATAAAGCTGTGATCTTAATGATAAGATTTTTTTATGTCGGTAATTAAATTATTATGACTATAATAAATTAGAGTCATCAGACAATATTTTTATATTGGTATTAATATATGAACTATGTTACTGTGATTCGTTATTATTAATAACAGAAAAGTAGTGTATCAAATAATAAATTGGACTTATATAATGTAGTTGGATTTTTTATTTTAGTATTGTCTTAAAATCAGTTTTACATTAGAAATGTCTGTGTTTTTAACTGTGATGGAAATTAAAACATTATTATATCAATTTCCCTATAAGGGTGTTACCACACCAATCGATCGATCGTCGATCTATGCAATCGATCGATGGTAGAATAGATTAGTCGACGTCTATCGATAGTTTCTACCACACCAAATGATCGATAAATGCCATCAATCGATGGTAGAATGAATTAGTCGACGCCTATCGATAGTTTCTACCAGACCAATAAATCAATTGTTAGAAGGAGATACCATATTTAGGAGATTTTCAATATCACTGTTACTCATTCGAAAAGCATCCAAAAAACCACTGTTTAAAATGTAATTTGCAGAATGTAAGCGATCTTTGGGTTTAAATAACAGTTGCATCATGAGTGTTCTGCGTTTGCGTCTCCGTAATAATAGTACGAGCAAAATGGTACTGGCCAAAAACAACGCGTCCAATTGTGAATACATTTCGAAACAAACTGATGAAATATAGCCGGGGTCAATCGATCTACGTCGACCGATGACATCGATCGATTGGTGTGTTAACACCCTAACATATTTTTTTCTTAAGTAGGTTTTTCTTAGAAAAACCTAAAGCAGTTTCATCACATCCAAGAAAAATTGATCCATAATATAGACCAATACAAAGTAAAACTAAACTTCCGAATGCAAAAAGGAAGAAACAGTAGAGTAATATAGGATTTCAATAATAATTGTTGATGTACTTCCACACTATTATTTATTCAGCACCCTTTCAAATAAAATGCTATGGAAAGAAAGCTCTTGAAAATGAGGGATTTGGTGACATATGCTACTGGAAGACTGAAATTTCCTACTACCAGTTGCCACTGAGTAGGAAGGAACCCAGGGGCAAGAGGCAAAATTTTTATTTTACAATTATTGCATATCTAAATATTGATTAGTGCTCTAGTAATAATAAAACTACTTTTAAAAGACATTAACATTTTATTTAAAATTACAAATTATAACTAAGCATAATAAATTCCATTTGATCTACACTTTAGTGTAGATATTAAAGAAAGTCAACAAACACCCTGTTTGATGAGTTTCATATTATATTCTCTTCTGTTGGCATTGTTGGATAGGTTGCAGCATAATTTACAAATTTTTTTCCTAGATACAGATGTTTAGTTAACATTTTAAGACTTCAGTTCTTCACTATCTTGCTTTATTTGCTGTTCACCTTCTTCAACTGTTACAGGTTTACCATCAACAATGTCATATTCTCCAACTTTTGAAATCCCTTTTATCCTGACAACTTTCGCATTAGGTATACCAAGGGTATTTGCCCATGCCAGACCTGAAAACCAAATTGGTATTATTTCCCGGAACAGTGTATAGTTTCTGACCGATTTAAAAAAAACTAAAGCTAACATAGATGATGTGGTGGGCGGGCAGTAGTGTAGTATATTATATAATAAATAAACTTTAAAACATTTCAAATAGGTGGCAAACAATATTTGCATTGAGTTTCAACCAGATACCTGGAGCCATAGCCCGTTCTTCGTCTGTCTTCAGACCATAATAATGAGCCCAATCTGCTTTGCCATTATATACGCTGTATAAAACTAAACCAAATGCATTCCAAGCTAATAGTCCATAAGCTAAACTTAGACGCCGTTTCCAAATAATTGCTTTAGTTTCTGGAATAGGTTTAGTTCTACGGCGAATGAACTGGTGCCACCATTTATGAATCATTAGGACTTTTAAGACTTCTGTAGTGTTACAATACGGTTATATAACCTTCTATGATCCGAATATTTATTATATAAAAGTATTATATTCCTAGTTATTAAAACAACACCAATTAAATTTGTCAACTTATAAAAGCGGCTGTGTATTGTTATTTTTTTTATTTTAAAATTAATGAATTGAAACCAAACAAACAAATATAACCTCACTTTATTTATAGCAGCTCTATATTCTTTTTTAAGATTCTCCTATTTTTGGGAAGGCTAAGGAAACAATGGCCATACAGCCAAGTCTTAAGTTATATTAATCTTTTTTTTACATTAGAATGGTGTCGATTCTAGCATGATTCTCTAAACCTTAACTTAAATTTGACAGCAGTATATCCTTGTCATTCTCTATACAGAATGAAGGAAAGAGACTGATGTTAAATTTAGTTTTAAGTTTAGAGAATCACGCCAGAATTGGCACCAGTGTCGGTGTAACTCATTCTAATGTTTCTTGGTGTCCGTGATGGTAGCGTACCCACGATCAATATACGGTTTTTCGTTATGCCATTAAATACTGCGTAAATAGTGCCAAATTAGTGTAAAAATAAAAAAAATAGTGCCTCTTTAATTTAAGAAATAATGACCATTTTTACTGTGTACGCTAGCATGACGTCAAGCTAGCGTACCCATGGCCGTCCCCAAGAACAGCATATATTTAAGCAACGAAATTGACAAACAAAAATAGTTCGCAAATAGTGCCCTCGCTTTACAAAATTTCATAATCAATACTCTTACAGGACCAAAGATATTGAACTATACATTCTTAGCTGCCGTCAACCTGGCGTACCCATAATAGTACTCATAGAAAATGAACTTTTCTCGTTATCAATTCTATTTGTATAAATAGTGTGTCAAATAGTGCTTCTAACAGTAAAAGTATTTTATGTGCATTCGCAGTAAAACAATATAAAAAAAGCAATTAAATTATTTTTATATATGAAGTACAGTCATGTACAGAAGTGACAAAATTTTCGTAGTATAGTAGGTAGGTTGAAATGATTGGTGCATTCAAATTAAAATAAAATACGTTTTTATAAAAAGTACCTATTTATTTTAGTAAAAATACATATATACATAATCTCTTAGTGCATACATTAATTTTGTGTTTATACAATACATTTGTTCCTAGAATTTGACATCCTCTTTATGTATTGCTGTGATGCGAATTCACTTGAAATACTTTTACTATTAGTAAAATATAATTATCTTTATATATGTTAGTGAATGATGAATATTTTTCTTGTTCGTCTGACGAATATGAAAGTGCAGATAGTAATGATTCTTTGCTTTTTGATTCAAAACCTTTGTCTTACAAATTGTTAGAAACTCTTGGTAAAAATCCCAATTTTCTTTCCCTTGTGCATATCAACGCCCAAAGTATTCCATCCCATTATAATGATCTTCTTACTTCCTTTGACAATGGCGTAGTTGACGGTATACTTATTTCGGAAACTTGGTTAAAGCCTTCCCTTTCTTGTACATGTTTCTCTATCCCGGGCTATAAGCTTTTTTGCAATGATCGCACTGGTCTAGGGGGCGGTGGCGTAGGTATTTATCTACGTAATCATATTCCTGCCAGAGTTATCATGCATTCTCCATCATATATCACCGGCGCCATTGAATATTTATTTGTTGAAATGATTATACGTCATACGAAGATTCTCCTAGGGACCCTTTATAGTCCAAACGATCAGGTGGATTATTTTAACTCTCTTGAGAGTGCGCTTGAGGATGTAGTGCCTGTTTACGACCAGATCATCTTGATGGGTGATCTTAACACTTGTCTTTTAAAAAATGATACTAGAGCTGGTAAGCTTAATAGTCTGATATCTTCTCTCAATGTCCATATTCTTCATAAGTCGTCTCCAACTCATTATTTCCCAAACTCCAAACCATCTCTTCTTGATCTTGTTATTGTTTCTAACCCTGACTTAGTTAGTGCTCATGGACAAATGACAGCACCCTTTTCTTATCATGACCTCATCTTTCTATCTCACAAAGTTCGTGTTCCCAAAACCAAACCTAGAGTTCGTTTTCTGCGCAATTTTAAGCAAATGGATCTTGAACGCTTGAGGTTTGAAATGAGAAATATAGATTGGTCTCCGGTTCTACTTGCTCACAATATAGATATGATGGTGGAATATTTTACTAGTACTCTGACAAAAATGTACGATATTTATGCTCCAGTGCGACAAGTTCGCCTTAAACACATTCCCGCCCCTTGGTTGACTCCAGCCATTCGCAGAGTCATGGCAAAGCGTGACAAGGCTAAAAGCCGTCAAAAACTTTCGCCGTCCATTGAGAACTTGCAAGCTTACAAAAAGTTGCGCAATCTTTGCAATAGGATGTGCAGGTATGCTAAGCGCAAGTATATTCATAATCAAATTGAGGGTTTGGACCAGAGGCAGATCTGGAGTTTCTTTAGATCATTGGGAGTAGGTAAGCCAACGGACACAAGTCAGGATGTCATAGATCTCAATTCCCTGAATAAACACTTTTCTTCACCACCTTTGACTCTAGATAATGTTTCTAAGTCTAATACCCTCTCCTTAGTGTCTAGTCTTAATCAACCTCAAAGTAATAATCATCCCTCGTTTTCTTTCAACTCAGTTTCAGAGGAGGACGTGACAAAAAGTATTAAATCTATCTCCACCAAAGCCATTGGTAGTGATGGTCTTAGTCTAGACATGCTTCTTCCAGTGCTGGAGTACATTGTTCCCGTAATCACACACATAATTAATTATTCGTTGGAAAACAATGTCTTTCCGGCATCATGAAAGAAAGCTCATGTCATTCTCATTCCAAAAACTCCTAATCCATTTTCACTCTCCCAGTTTCGGCCTATTTCTATTCTTCCCTTACTCTCTAAGGTCTTAGAATCTGTAGTCCACAAACAGTTGTATTCCTTTCTCGTATCTAATTCCTTATTATGTCCTTACCAATCCGGTTTCCGCCCATCTCACAGCACAGTCGGTGCGCTGCTCAACATAACTGAGGACATTCGCTCTGCTATGGACAGCACCAAACTAACAGCTATCGTATTATTAGATCTAAGCAGCGCATTTGACTGTGTCGACTTCGACCTCTTACTCGCTACTTTAAGTTACTTCGGCGTGTGCGCCTCTGTGATTGGATGGTTCCGTTCATATCTTTTCAATCGATTCCAGCGTGTCCAATTAAATAACGAATTCTCTGATTGGTCGAAGGTATCAGCTGGTGTGCCTCAAGAAGGTACTCTCTCACCTTTATTATTTTCGTTATTTATCAACAATATTTCTCGTGTCCCCTCTTGCCCTTTTCACCTTTACGCTGATGACCTGCAATTTATAAAGATTTTGCCTGAACTGAAATCACTGATGCCATTACTTTTTTAAACAGGAATCTAACATCTATTCAAAACTGGACTGCTTCATTTGGTTTCTTAGTTAACCCGAATAAGTGTCAAGCTATGATTGTCGATAGTAGCAGGATTAGATACAAATTAGATTGGAACTTGATACCTCCCATTAAATATAACGACGTGCCTAAACCTTACACCGATAAAGTGAAAAACCTGGGCTTAATTATGGATAGCACAATGTCATGGTCCCCACATATTAGTGAAGTCAGTAAACGTATTCACTACTCATTTCACTCCCTCAAGCGGCTTCAATATTTTCTTCCCTTCAAAACCAAAATTATGCTGGCGCAATCACTCCTTCTCCCCATTCCCGACTACGCCGATATTTGCTACTTGGATGTAACCTTACCATTAAACCACTTGGTTTAATGTCAAAGGATGTAACTGAAGATCAATTGAATAAGCTAGAGCGTCTCCAAAATCTTGCAATCCGTTTCATATTCGGATTGCGTAAATATGTCCGAGTTTCTGCTTTTCGCTCTCAATTGAAATGGCTTTCCATTCGTCTTCGACGTGATATGCATATCCTATCATTCTTGTTTAAAATACTCAAAGATCCTAGTTCTCCTCATTACCTTGTTGCTCGTTTCAAAACGCTTCCTCCCCCTTCTCGTCCTAAAAGGTCTTGCCACACGAAGACACTTGAACTACCAAAAAGTAATACCAACTTCTTTTTCCATTCCTTTTCTGTTCGTGCTGCTTTAGGGTGCGGCCAGAGTGCACTCAGATTCAGATTCAGATTCAGATTCTGAAAACAAGCGCGAGAAGTAAACAGTGTAGTCTAAGCAGGTTGCCTGCTTTTTCTCGCGCTTTGTTTTCTGAGTCTGAATCTGAATCAGGAGTGCAATCTGGCCGTACCCTTCGACTACACTGTTTATTTCTCGCGCTTGTTTTCGAAATCTGAATCTGAATCTGAGTGCACTCTGGCCGCACCCTTACTCTGGAACAGACTTCCCTCTAGTATTCAAGATTGTCCTTCTATTGTCTCTTTTAAAGCAAAAGTCAAAGAGCACTTTCTGGAAATAAATTCACACTCTTAGTTGTCTATTTATTCTACTCTTTGTTTTATTTTAATATAATTTCATGTTATGTGTATTTATTATTTTATAGTGTATGTATGTATATATACAGGGTGAAATTGAATGTTTCTATGAAACTTCGTGAGGTTGATGGGTTACATGTATAGAGTATGTCTGATTTTTTTCGGATTTTTTAAAATAATTTTTTTCGTTTTTTAATTTTTTATTTGGTTATTTTTTTGTCATTTCTTCCTTATGAGTAATTATTCATTTTAAACACGTCTACATAGAAGTTATAAAGCAACTTAAAATAAGCACTACTAAAAAAACGGAAACTTAATGAATGCCTTCATTATGCCTCCAGTCGAGATCACCGCCGGTCGGGGCGACGACCGGCGGCCGCCTGTAGGTACCTAACTACACGCACAGATGACTCGGCGCTTACCTACTCGCTTTGATCCACACTATTTAAAAACAATACAATAAAATAGTCTTAGATGCTATATTATAATTATTTATTCACTGATACACAATACCTTTGAATATTATTTCATAAAGCACAGGTAATTAATCAATAAAATAAATCTTCTTAAAATTAAGAGCAAATCGGTATAACTTACGAGCTTAGTGAAGGAAGGAACTCTTCGTGTCTGGTTTGCCCACGTCATGAAATTCCGAACACATTTAATCACAGCCTTAGTCACACATACACACACACACACACATAATAATATGTTGTTTTGCGGCAAGCACGGGCGGGC